GGAATCAATAATTAATCATTTATATTTTTCATTTCCATGTCTGTAAACTGAATTTGAAACAGCTGTTTTAACAGTTTTTTTGAAAATCCAAAAGTTAATTTGGAACTACACGATGAGAGTCAAATTTTTAATAATATATTATAATTATAAGATAATATATATTCAAAATTTTACTTAATCACTGAAAAGACTCATATACTCTATAATGCTCAAACTTAAAATTTCAACGGAAAACAAAACTCACCTTAACCATTAAAACCACCTTATAAGTTTATATGAAAGTCAAATTTAATATCTCAAAATCATTACAATATTAGCTTTACTATTAAACCACTCAGATTGGATTTGAAATCTTTAAAAAATATTTTTTTAATCATTAAAATTATTTGAATAATCTATTTTTCTTTTATTTATTTATATATGTATATAATTAAATTAAGGGATATAGATTAAATTTTGAATTTAAACCCAAGTAACCTTTATATTGAAAAGAACATGCTCTATACTTATAACTTGGGTTCTTACAAGATTTCGAAAGCATAAGTGATTTGTTCGATTTACATATCAATGGAATCAAATTTAAATTACATGTCGTTTTCTTGAAATTATGCATTGGACTCGTGACAATATGTTCGTTAGTAAAGTCGGTGTCGGCATGGAAAAAGAAAAAGAAAAGAAACACGAATGCTTTTCATTTTCCATCGACGTTTCACTTGCATTGAGTTATTGGGAGTTTAAATTTAGGATTCTATGAAATCTAGTGAGTGACATAAGTGGGATTTTTTTATTAAAAAAAGGTTAAATTCGAACAATCATATTTGTAAGGAATGTATACGTTGGATTCTTAAATTGTATGGTGTCATTTTAGTTCTGAAATTTTATTTTTTGATCTTTAAATTAAAGAGTCATGGGAGTGTCTCGATTATGGAAAACATGATTAATAGATTGTGTATAGCTTATTGAGGCGTGCCATAGGCATCAAATCGTTGTGTATGATGCCCCTGAGTTGATTTAGATGAAAAGACACAAGGATTCAATTGAAATGTTTAAAGACTTGGAGGACCGAATTGGCGGGACCGGAGGCTTTGGAAGACTTTGAGAAATTGAAGGAGCAATTGACGTGTAGGAGATCAAACCCTTGTCCTTTAAAGAACATTTGAATGTAACCATGGTACCACTAAGCTAATTAAGGGCTGTGGGACAAAATCTCTATGATATACTAAGAATCTAATACCTTTTTCGGTTGTTGAGAGTTTCGATCGATCAATCATATAATCAAAATATCCTTTAACATATATATTTATTTAAAAAACATCAGTTATATACGACACGAACACAGATTAAGATATATGCGTGATATGTAGAAAATTATAAGACAAAGTCGTTGGGTATCCCGCTCTCCTCAAAAGATAACACGCCCAAACCAGTGATGACTGATGAGCGATGCAAGACTAAAGATATGCTTTTCATCTCATGCAAAATTATTTGATCATGTTGCAAGAAGACATACGCCAAAGTTTTGCAGTTTTATTGATAAATTATCAAAATAAGATACGAGACTCCCTCGCGTTTCCTGCACGTCGCCGTTCTCGAGTTTATGCTTCCAACGGCAAATGAAATAGAATTTCACAACTTGTTGGATACTGACATTGATAAAAAGATAACCAACATAGACTACAAGACAAATGCATTAGGTAGTACCTACAACTTGCAGGAAATTGACGATTTAAAACATCTTCCTTTAAAACACAAAGGTCTAAGGCTCAAATAGTTGAACCTCAAAATAACCCCAGGCCCCATTTGAAGTGCCCAAATGACAATCTCTATATTACCTTCCCCCCTTAGATTATCCTTCCATTTAAACATTAAATTCGATTTTCTTATTTTCGTTACAGAGTCCCAAAAGTACCTCTTTATGTAATCAATTAATTTATTTTATTAACAAAAACTGTCGTTGATCAATTTCTAAGTTAATCGAAGATCATAGAATGTATTAATATTTTTTTATATTAAAATTTAACTAAAAATCAGAAATCAATCACTATAAGTAATTAACTCGAAGTTTCATATGTAATATGTGACTCGAACTCGGGTGCTGAAGGACCTAAAACCCCCACCTTTGTCAATTGTATTATTGAACATGCCAAACCTTTTAAAGCAAAAATAAGAAGCCTAATAGAATATCTATCCATTTATATAAGGATGTAAAAAACTGATACAACCTTTAAAATTAAGTGAAATCGACTCGAGCTAAAATTGTGTGTGATTCGGGTGGTGGTGATCCGAAATCGATTCGTTTCCAAATTGGCATTGACATGAACCCGAGTTGGACCTAAAAATTATGTATCTAAATCCTATCTGCACTCGATCTGAGAACGACTGAACCATAATTGAACCGATAATATGATAATCAAACCCGACCTACATCCGACTGATATGTACCCGAACCCGAACTTAATTTAGTAAATAACTGATATTACCCGATCTATTATCAACCTGACATGTTATTGACTCAACCTGTAAATGATCTGACTAGTTATTCAACTGATCTGATATTTACATGACTTGATATTTATCTAACTTTTAATTTACAATTGATGAAGTTGTGAGATTTTAAATTTATAATAAATTATTGAAATTAATATGATTTCCTTTTAAAGTTAAAACAAACTATGATAATTAATATAGTTAATTATATATGTACTTTTATATACTTATATATATATACACACACTTTTTTTTGAATACTCAATCTTATCGTATTAGTTCTATTATAATAATTTTTTCAAATAAACTTATTACATACTCAATCTTATGTTATTGACTCAATCTATATTTTGAAATTTGAAAAGCTTGATCACAATTTTTTTTTGCCGCTCATGCCTTTATCTTTTAAGGAAATCTTTAACTTTCTTTTGATTAAGAGAAAAGCAAGCAATTAATGAGGTGTAACTTTAGAAGAAAGCATTGATCGCTTTGTTACCTCATCAATTTACGTATAATGTATGTATAATATTTTTTAATTTAGTTTTTTAATAAGTATAATTTTATTATTTTTACTTTAAAAAAATAAATTTGATTAGATTTAGGAACGGATCTATAATTAAATATTTACAGGGGCCGACATATTGATTTTTTTAAATAGAGTGACTTATTAGGTATTTAAACTCAAAATTTAGAAGATAATGTCTATTTGTCTAATATTTAAAATTATAATGACCTAAATTTTTAATAGACTAAAAAATTTGAGAACATGAGATTATCCATTTTTAGTTCGATCCCTACTTAATTAAATATAAATTCATGTATTTTTTAATTTGAATATTTATTTTTACATAAATCAAAATAATAGTAGACCAAAATTTATCGAATATATATAATTTTTTAATTAAATATGTATAAACGAATGTTATACGAATGGTTCACGAGGAATTCATCGAACGCTCTGTTCATTTACACCATATCTACAAGACTCAAGTTCAATACTTAGTAATTTGTAAAATTTGATTTCCTCGCCTTTTATTCTTGAACCATTCATACGATGATATTTGTTATCGTTTGATTGATTCTAATTAATGTAATTAAAAATATTCATATAAAATAAATTTAAATTTAAAAATGCTAATGTGATATGATGAAGTGGCATGTTGCCGATGTGTCAAAATGATATATTATCATGTGTATGAATATTTACTGACACAATTTTTTTTATAATGTAGCATGATGATATGAATATGCCACGTCAATATTTTGTCTACTTGTACATGCAATCAACTTTATGTAATTACCGTATGTTAACTGGTAGTTTTCATCTATGTAAAGATTTTTTTGTCTCAAAATAAAATGTTATAGGACAAAATAATCATATAATCAAACGTTAGGCATTATTTTTGTCATTATGCCTAACAAAATTTAATAAATCTTTGTTGATATTAAATTTCAAAATTAAATCTGAAAATTTTATTTATTTTATTTGTGTATGTAGAAAGAGAGAGTTTTGAATGCGTATTTTTTTCTAGTAAATTTGAGCCCATTGTTTTTTTAATTAATGTGAGGTAAATAGAAAGTAGTATTTGTTAAAGTATAATTCTCAACCTTTTGACATCGAATGTCTATATCCCTAACATTCATGATACTCAAATCATGACCTAAAAAATTTACAACAATTAATTTATTAACGAGATCACTTGGTTTGTGTCCAAATTTAAACTCGTTGTTCAACTAAGGCTGGGGCTCAATTGCAGCCCAACTTAAACTAAACCGACCTAAAATCTAAAGTATCCAACGGTTACCCAACGATTATAATTGACCTTGATGCATCAATAAATAGATCCGTTGGGTCTGGGTTAATCTTATTGTTAGATAGTCACGAGTATCGCATTATATTACTTTTCTTTCCCGCCTTGATCACTCCCGAATCCATCCCGTCAGAAGAGTCGAGGTCAAGTCTCTTTGTACGATCTCTTTCGGAGCTTCAATTTTTTCGTTTCTTGCGAATTGTGATTGGTGATCGCTAAACCCTAGTATACAAACATGAGTAGTTTTAGGGTTTTCTCCGGTGGCGCTCAAAGATCCGGGCCGGGTACTATTAGAAGGATAAGGTTAGAGAACTTTATGTGCCATAGTAGTCTTGAAATCGAACTCGGGGAGTGTGTTAATTTCGTTACCGGTCAAAACGGAAGTACATCTCTCTCTCTCTATATATATAAATTGTGCATTTGATTCATGTTAATAATTTTCTTGGAATGTGATACGAGCGACATGTTTGTTTGTTTGTTTGGTTTTTTGTGTCCATCGGAGGGAAGAGCGCGATACTAACTGCTTTATGTATAGCATTCGGCAGAGAAACTAAAAGGGCTTCGAAGTTGAAGGAATTTATAAAAACTGGCTACAGGTTTTTTTTCTTCTTCTTCTTCTTTTGCTTTTAATTGTTTGGTTTAGTGACGGGTATTCTGTTTTATATATCTGATATCTATCTTAATTCTCAGTTATGCTAACGAATCTCTGAGGTAAATTCCTGCCGATATTATTTGATTATTCCTTTTGTTGAAAATTTTCTTTATAAAAAGTTTTTAATAAACATTTTCAGGCCACTGGAATGATGCTACATTATCTCAACGGAAAATCAGTTACAGGAGATGCATCATTCAGCTCAAATGTTATACATGTTCACAGCTTGTGTATTGAGTGGTATCTTTCTGGAAAATTTAAGTTGTATAATATTTAAGTAAAAGGGAAATTATGGGTTTTTGCTGGGGAGGCTGGGAATTTTAGCGAAACCTGTTTATATACTGTTTGGTTATGTTTCATTTTGATACAGTAACTTTTTATTTCTGTTGTTTTCTTGCTGCTAGAAATCCACTGATATTGTCTTAAAACACAGGGCGCCCCGAGTGTATTATACTGGTGAAACTGTTAAGAATCTTAAGGCAGAACTCTCAAGGGGTGCTAAGCTGAAGTGCAGCAAATGTGGGGAAAAGGGGGCAGCACTTGGTTGTTATGTGAAGTCCTGCCGCAGAAGTTATCATTTCCCTTGTGCAAAAGAGATTCCAAAATGTCGATGGGATCATGTAATTGCATTTGTACCATATTTTATATGAGATATGGTTTTATTCTGTGACGATCTGCCTTTGCTCATAATTATGGTTTTATTCACATGACCATTTTTGCTCATAATTTTTTTTCTTTCATCTTATAGGATGACTTTCTCGTGCTTTGTCCTGCCCATTCTTCTGTTAAGTTTCCAAGCGAGAAGTCTAGAAATGCCCATTCTTCATCCAAGTTATTGAATGAGAAGTCTGGAAATTGTGTGTCTGCTAATGATGGCATGCCAACCGAAAGGTAATTAATCAATGGAAACGTCTTAGAAATCTTTCACAGGTATATACCTTCTTTGCATACTTTTTGAAGGAGTTGCTATTTTATTCTTCATTTTCTTTCACTTTAGAAGAAAAAACGTCAAAAGAAGCCAAATTATTTAAATTGTATTTTTTTCTAGTCCCCCCATTGTCATGGAGAAAGTCTTAAACTGGTTATTGAATTGTCTTAAGAGTGATCTGATTGTAATTCTGAATGCAGTGGCCAGCTGAAATCCAACACATTTTGGGGCCAGCCAGATAATAAAAAAACTGGGTTTTCTGTGGATCTGCTTTGCCTCATGAGGAGAAGGTCAGTTTAGATAAAACTCATTTTTTGTTTTGGACCCATTTATAAGTTGAGTAGTTCTTTTTTAAGTATTGTATCTTTGAATTGTTTGTGTTTTTATCGTGTTGAAAGGTGAAACTGATATATTTTTCAAGCCTTGATTTCTTTTAATCGATCTTTTTGGATTTAGAAATGGAAACATAGTATCTAACTTGGAGATTCTTTCATTGATAGGATATCCTAAAATATGCCTTTTCTTTTCGCAACAATGTACTCTCATTGTATATATTTATTGTTTTACCTTGTTGCAGTTCCTTTTGATCAAGTTTGCGAACATGATTGGTGTAACTGTATCCAAGTTTTGGAAGCCGGATGTCACTCATGTGATTGCTTCTACAGATGGGAACGGTGCATACACCAGGACACTTAAAGTTCTCATGGCCATTTCAAACGGGAAGTTGTTTCTTAATATAAATTGTATGTTCAATTGTTCCTTTTTGCACTCTATATCCATATGCATCTTTTTCTTTTCCTTTGTCGAATGTGTGCTGGTTAAAATTCAATCACTACTCAAACAATCAGTTGTATTTTCACCACTGATATGTAAGCTTAACATTACAGGGGTAAAGGAGTGCTTGAAAGCCATGCATCCTTTGAGTGAGGAACCTTATGAAGTTAGTCTCGACAACCATGGGTGTCGTGATGGCCCTAAAACGGGGTATTGAATGATGTAAGCCTTTCTTCCTTTATGGATTGAAGTTTGCTCATTTTTAAAGTTGGCAACACTATTACTTTTGCAAGCAAGTAACTTGTTTCTCTTGCAGGCACCAAAACTCTTTGATGGATTTAACTTTTATTTTGCGGGTGATTTTATGTCTGGTTACAAGGAGAAACTGGAGGATGTGCAAAAGTCACATGCGTTGATGTTAGTGTGTTGCCTGAGTCAACTACTAATGAACTTTTCAAGAAATTTCAGTTTGTTCCATGAAATATGGTTATTTTTATGCAAGTAAGAACATTGAAAAATAAGTTCTTGCTAACATCTTTAAAAGCGTACACCCTAGTAGGGCTTAGTCATGCAATATAGAAATATGGAAGTCATTTTCCTCCATCCGATATGAAATATGGCTATTTTTATGCAAGTAAGAACATAGAAAAAGATCTTGTTTACATCTTTAAAAGAGTACTCCTTAGTAGGGCTTAGTCATGCAATATAGAAATGCGGAAGCCATTTTCCTCCATCCGATATGATGTTTTTGAAAATTTATCTCTATTTCATGTTAACCTTTTTCATTGGTGTTAATTTTTTTCATTGGTGGCAATATAAAAAGTTTTATGATTAATGTTTTCCAAACTTCTGTTCTTATATTTAACAATTGTAAGTATGAAAGATGTTTTATTTTAGAAACTTTGTCTTTTAATGTACTAATTCATAGAACTGTTACACTGGGGCTGTCAGTGTATTGTAGACTAACCTTTTCCATCCAGCTGAAAATAGCTCTACTATGTTGCTTCTATCTTTTGGATATTCCTTATCTAGTTGTTAGACGATTAGTTTGATCTTTTAATATAAAGTGGCAGGTAAATGTTTTGTTTAATTTTGGTATACTTCGGAGGTAGGTAGGATTCATATTTTTTCTTTTCGTTGCTCTACAAGCTGAGGAATCAGAAATAGAGGAACATATAAAAATACTTGAATATGCTATTGATAGTTTCAAAACAATGCTCTCTAGGTTATTCACTTTTTCATTTCCTTGCTCATTAGTTATTCTAGATCTCTTTGAACCTTAAAATATTTTTACGTTTCAATTTGATGGATGTGGAAAATACTTTATCAGAACATCTCTCAGCGGAAATGGATGCAATGAAGAAGATTAATGAAGACGTATGAAGTTTAGAGATTATTAAAATTTATATGAATTTGAATCTGTAAAACATAACCTTCTATGGTGTCTTTAGGTGGTAAACATTTAGAAGATAAATGGTCATGGAAAATGAAAGGGCCTGGTTCTTTTCTCAAGTTATTATTACTTCAAAAATACTCTTATATATGATTACTTCTGAGTTCTGACTGTAGTGATATTTTTTTTAAACAAAAATCTTATTTACTTGTTCATTTCTGTGATGAAGATTTAGTTTAGATGGTAATGGTTTTAGGGGATAAGTGATAATGGAAAATTGAAAGGTACAATATTATAACATGGCAAATATACCAAATATTCTCAGGATAAATTATTGGTTCAAACTCTATATTCGAGCACTTATAACTGCTGTTAATTCCTTTTAAATCCTTTTTTATGTGTTCAACTTGTGTGAAGAGGAGATAGTTTAGATGTTAAGAGGTTTTAGAGGATAAGTGATCATGGAAATTCAAAGGTCCAACATTATAACAGTCCAAGATTATGCGGGACATTCTCAGGTTAAATTATTGACATTTTTTTTAAAGTTTTTTTTAAAAAAAAATCAAACAAATTTTTTTGCATGTGCAATTTGTATGGATATAGTTTTGACATATGTAAATTGACTTTGTTGCTGTTTTTCTTTGCAGAGTTCTTGTAATTTCAGGATTTATTTCTCTTAGAATTTTGTCCTGAAGATCTTCACATCTCTTATACATTTTCCCTTTTATAGATTAAGTACCATGAAACAGAGCAGCATGAGATTGATCATCAAATTCGTGAGCTTCGTCTACATCAAGCCATCGGGGTTTGGGCAACTCTTTTTATTTATTTATCGTTTTACATGAAAGAAACGAGGATGATGTGTTTTTATTCCCCCAAACATTTTAAGGATGATGTGCTTTTTTATTCCCCCAAACATTTTAAGGTCATGTGCTTTTTTATTACCCTAAACATTTTAAGGTAGGCTCGAGGGTGTAATAATTACCGATGGCAAGAATTCCCTTCATCTTCACTAAGCATATTTTTTAATCATTCTCTTTGTTGTTTGTATCTCTCTTTGGGTTCATATATGCCAGTATGTCCTATGATCAATGCTTCACTTGTGTTATGCAGAAAAGGTGCTTGGATGTGGAGTGCGATTTCATGGTTAAGAGAATGAAACTGGAGGATATGCAGAAGTCACATGCTGTTGATGCTAGTGTGTTGCCTGAGTCAACTAGTAATGAACCTAAAGAAATTTCAGTTTGTTCCATGGCTGACTTGGCTTACAAACCTTGCTTTTATACTTATATTTGAGTAAGTTAAAATTATTTTCTAATGGTATCTTCTATCATTGAATCGACTTTAGGATGCTAAAATGTTGATCAAGATGAAGGAGGCGTTGCAAGAAACACTTAAAGAGAGGTTTAATGTAGCAGAAGAAAAAGGCAGAACTTTTAAGTTATCATTCGAAGATTTTAGGGGTATTATTTTCGTAAACTAACAGAGATAGAGAAAGAGAGAAATAATACAGAAGCAGTCTACTTTGTGCTCAGATATTGAAGTTTCTGTTTCAAATAGGGTCCAGTAAAATGTTATGAAAGAAAAGGTTCTTCCTCAAATTAAGGAGGCAGAGGCATAATATGTGGAACTAGAAAAGAATCGTAAGGTTGATATTTATGCCTTTCTAGATATACTAACCAATTGTAGCCCATGTTATACTTATGCAACTATCGTGTGAAACTTGAATTCAGAAACTGAAGTTTTTGTTTCAGAATAGGATCCAATACGAAAATATTATCAAAGGAAAGGTTCTTCCTCAAATTAAGGAGGCACGTGCAGAATGTGGAACTAGAAAAGAATAATAAGATTGATATTTTTGCCTTTCTAGATATACTATATAATTGTAGCCCATGTTATATTTTGCAACATTGCAGGAGAGCTACATAAAGGCTTCTTCCTGAGAGTGAAATTGACGGTTAGAAGACTTGGATGGAAGTACAAAAATCAAAAGACTTGGATGGAAGTACAAAAATCAGAGACTTATGCATGAAGGAAATCGGTATGGGGTGGTTAATTTTCGATGTTTCACTTTGAAAATATCCCAATATCTTAACTACTGATTTTCTGCAGATATTCAGAGAATCGATTGATGATCTTAGGATGTTGTATCTGGAGAAAGAGCATAGAATAGGAAATTGCATATTTAAAAAGCATTTCGAGAAAGATTAGATGTCAGTTCAATTGTTGTTCAATTTGCCCTGAATTGGACATCTGGTCTCTATTATACAATGAGGTGGCTAACCTTGTTCCAACTGTATTTTGAGAAAGAACCGTGAAAGAGATTAAGGTCAAGAAAGACCTTAATAGAGTTCTATTTTGTAATCTCAACTGTGTTTTGGAATTCTGGATTGTGATGTGAACCTTTTTCTGACTGTTTTGTAGGTTATATGGCATTTGATAGTTGTTTCAGTATAATGTCATTTGTCCTAATTGTGAATTCTGAAAGAAATGATTTGTGCATTACCTCAAGGCTTTTTTAAGGTTGCTAGAAGTTTCTTAGCTTTTTTCTTCTGCTTTGGTTGTTATATTGCAGGCTTACTAAAATGCTCTTGATTTGCGTAGGAAAAAATTTCAACGTAATTCAGCGCTTCTAAGACAGGAGTTGACTTGACAATATGTATCAACAATTATTAATTTTCTTTCGTTGTGATTATTTATTTTATTATTTCTTGTTGGGTACAATTAGATTTAATGGCCATTTGGGGAAGAAAGGTGTCAGCAGACACATTAATGTTAATTGTGACGAAAAGACCCTTTCAGTAGAGGTAAGCTATCTAAATTCTACGTGTTCTTTTAGGCGTACTTACAATTCGTTACTTGTACATTTCGCCTGGTCACTATGCCCTTTTAAAGTCCTAAGCTGTGTCTACTCAGCATTTTACAACGGGTTTGCTGATTCCATTTGGTTTAACAGGTAAAAATGCCTCAAGATGCATCAAGCAACACTGTTCGTGATACAAGGGGTCTTTCAGGTTTTCAATGTCATCACTACATAACATTATCTACCTGTGGCGTCATGACTATTGTTTAATCCAAATAAATGTTTTATCTTTTTGGGAATTTTTTACTCCCAAATCATCTATAAGTTAAAGAGGTTAGAAGAGTCGGACATTTTCATAACTGATTAATGTTGAACTCCAGTACTATGACATTTTCATAATTGATTAATGTTGAACTCCAGTACTATTATAATGATTTGTTAACTAGGAGGGGAGCGCTTCTTCTCAACATTATGCTTTGCGCTGGCTCTTCATGATATGAATGAAGCCCCATTTCGAGCTATGGATGAGTTTGACGTGTTCATGGTGAATTTTTTTTCCTTTTTGGGTTGGGGACTTTTGTAGTCATTAGCATCACATCCCTTTGGATTAAGGTAAATGCTATTGTCTGTCAAGAAGCAATAACTCGTGGATTGAGCATTTATATTATTTGTAATATTTTCCTCCAGGATGCAGTTAGCCGAAAAATCAGCCTGAACAATTTAGTTGACTTTGCATATTCTATTGGTGGTTAGACTAACATTTTCTGCCCCAGTTATGATAATGAATGCTTATTGTTTTCTTTTATCTTTTCCCCTGTTGTTAGCTAGTAAAAGTTAGCTCTCATTCATTGACCATGGAAATTTTTATTATTTGAAGGAGAAATTGGAGAAGTTGGACGAAAGCTTTTCAAAGAAGAAAGTTCAAGTTGCTTCTTTGGTGGAAAAAACATTTGAAGTTGGAAGAAGGAAAGATGAATTGCTGGATGCTTTTTGCTTGGTACATTAATTGTTCCCCATCTTTGTTCTTTCAAAAGACAGGTTGAATCACAAGTCTTATGTTGTGTATCAACCCTTTGGTGATTACTTGATATCCTTAACATTGTTGCTAGGTTTATTATCAGTTTCTTTTTCTTTTTTTAACTGAGGGAAAATATAGTACAACTGTTTATTTCGATTGGTTTAGTCACGGTTAAATACGAATAAAAGCTGAATTTTGAGTTTTCGTAACAAACTCTTTCCTCGTTATTTTTGTGTGCTCATTGGTCTATCATCATATCCTATTATTCATATGTAAGCTTTTATGCGTATGCTGTGTAATCATTGGTCTGACCATATTATTTATAATTTTATGTTCAAGTTTTGGTTTGTTTGATTGTTTTTAATTTCTGAATTTTCATCTCTTGTTCATTATAGGCAAGAAATGAAAAGCTCAAGTCCATGATATTCAGGAGAATCAAATTAGAAATACACAGGTCTTTCATGGTTTTTTCTTCAACGTGACTTGTTAGTATTTTCTTTTTGACTACTGATGAGGTACCATTCATTTTGAAATAACATATATGTTAAAGTATGCTTATTATTACATAATATTCATGTATTGTGTGCACGTTTTAATACATTTTAATTTAATATTCTGTGAAGAATATTTGTATTATGAGTTCAATTAGAAATATGGCTATTTTTATACATGTAAGAACATAGAAAAATAAGATCTTGTTTACATCTTTAAAAGAGTACACCCTAGTAGGGCTTAGTCATGCAATATAGAAATACAGAAGCCATTTTCCTCCACCTGATACGATGTTTTTGAAAATTTATCTCTCTTTCATGTTAACCTTTTCAATTGGTAGCAATATAAAAAGTTTTGTTATTAATGCTTTCCAAACTTATGTTCTTATATTCAACAATTGTAAGTATGAAAGATGTTTTGTTTTAGAAACTTTGCCTTTTGATGTACTAATACATAGAACTGTTAAACTGGGGCCGTCCTTAGTGTATTGTAGACTAACCTTCTCCATCCAACTGAAAATAGCTCTACTATGTTGCTTATGTTTTTTGGATCCTTATTTTGTTTATTATTCCTTTTCTAGTTGTTAGATGATTAGTTTGATATGTTAATATAAAGTGGCTGATGAATGTTTTGTTTAATTTTGGTATACTTCGGAGGAAGGTAGGATTCATGTTTTTTCTTTTGTTGCTTCTTCAAGCTGAGGAATCAGAAATAGAGGAACAGATAAAAATACTTGAACATGCTGTTGATAGTGTCAAAACAATGCTCTCTAGGTTATTCACTTTTTCATTTCCTTGCTCATTATGCCCCTGTTACCGCTTAGTTATTCTAGATCTCTTTGACCCTTAAAATATTCTTACTAGTTTGATGGATGGGGAAAATACTTTATCAGAACATCTCTCAGCAGAAATGGATGCAATGAAGAAGATTAATGAAGATATATGGGTAAGTTTAGAAATTATTAAAATTTATATGAACTTGGATTTGCTTTTCCATTTTGACTCTTTGGTATTGAATTATGATTTTATAATATAACCCTAGATATCTGCAAAACATAACCTTCTATGGTGTCTTTAGGTGGTAAACATTTAGAAGATAAACGGTCATGGAAAATGAAAGGGTTTGGTTCCTTTCTCAAGTTAAGTTACTATTACTTCAAAAATACTCTTATATCTGATTACTTCTGAGTTCTGACTGCAATGGTTTTTTTAAAAAAAAAAAATCTTTTTTTACTTGTTCATTTTCTGTGGTGAGGATTTAGTTTAGGTGGTGAAGGTTTTCGGGGATAAGTGATAATGGAAAATTGAAAGGTACATCATTATAACATGCCAAGTATACCAAACATTCTCAAGATAAATTATTGGTTCAAACTCTATATCCGAGCACTTATGACTGCTGTTAATTTTCCTTTTAAATCCTTTTTTACGTGTTCAATTTTTGTGAAAAAAAGTTAGTTTAGATGTTAAGAGGTTTTAGAGGATAAGTGATCATGGAAATAAAAGGTCTAACATTATGACATTCCAAGATTATGTGGGACATTCTCAGTTTAAATGTTTTTTTAAAAAAAACCAAACAATTTTTTTTACATGTGCAATCTATATGGATAGTAGTTTTGACATATTAATTTAACTTTGTTGCTGTTTTTCTTTGCAGGGTAAGTTCTTGCAATTTCAGGATTTATTTCTCTTAGCTTATAGAAATAATTTCGTCTTGAAGATCTTTACATCACTGATCCATTTTCCCTTTTATAGATTAACTACCATGAAAAAAACCAGCGTGAGATTGATAATCAAATTTGCGAGCTTCGTCTACATCAAGCCAACAGGGTCTGGGCAACTCTTGTTATTTATTTAATTGTTTTACATGAAAGAAATGAGGATGATGTGCTTTTTTATTCCCCAAAACATTTTAAGGTCACCTTTGAACTTGATTTTCTTTTCTTGGACAGGTTACAACTTTTGATGGGGATGGAGTGCCGTCTTCGACGTGAAATTGAGAGGCATCACCGTGCATTTACCGTGCCACCTATTGGTCCAATTGGTGCTCATGTGGTGAATGATGGAAAATTGCTATAGAAAACTTTGAGCACACTTCTTATGCCTAGGAACTAAACAACTAAATGTTTATTTGTGAATTTAAGATCGACTTGTTCATTTGGTGTTGGTTACAGAATGCTGAATTCTTTTCAGATTTTCCTTTCACTAGATCTCTCTGTTAATGGTATAGGCAATTTAGGTACTTTTATAGTGAGAGAACATTTGCTCGCAGGAGTTGTATTGAAGCTTCTTTTTTTCCTTGGAAAAATCACTTAAAAGTTGTTTTTAGTCTGAACATAGATCTCTTTTGATTCTAGAGGCTCTATCCTATGAAAGTTTCTCCATTTTTAGTTTTTTTTATAGGTACAACCATAGGTATCACTGTTTCCATATTAAGTAATTCTTGACGACTTTCTGAATTAGTTTTGTGGTTATTGTGCTGCAGACATTAGTCAATGGTGATACATGGGCTCCTGCTGTTGAACAAGCTATTGGGAAGTTGCTAAATGCATTCATTGGGAAAAATTCTTAGGATGCTAGCGCTCTTGGAAAATGTTCAAGGAAGGCAAGATATAATTACTTTCCAATTGTTATACATAGCTCTTAGAAAATGTTCAAAGAAGGCAAGATATAATTACTTTCCAATTGTTATACATAGGTTTTCGAGACCAAGGTGAAAGGATGAGAACTCTTATTTTCTTAAAAATCCTCTTTTCATAGTCCTGATGTTTAAGTACAGTTTCCATGATATTTGGTTCTTGTTTCTTTGTAGGTTGATTATACCAGATCATTCACTCCCAGAGATAACCACCCAACTGCTCAATCTCTTTTACATTCTGATAATCCTAGTGTTTTCAATGTTTTAGTTGATGTGGTAATTTTTTTCCTTCTGTTTAAAGTTCTTTTTCAAGCTTAATACTAGTCTGAAAAGTGTGCTTCCTTGCACATAATGCCAATCTTTAAAAGTAAAATTGTGCCATTGTCACTGACTCTTTGTGCCTTAATTCCTTGCATAGGCTCATGGTTGTAATAATTATCGATGGCAAGAATTCCCTTCTTCTTCTCTAAGCATATCTTTTAATCATTCTCTTTGTTGTTTGTATCCCTTATTGGGTTCATATATGCCAGTATGCCCTATGATCAATGCTTCACTTGTGTTATGCGGAAAAGGCGCTAGAAAATGAAACTGGAGGATGTGCAGAAGTCACATGCTGTTGATGCTAGTGTGTTGCCTGAGTCAACTACTAATGAACTTCTTCAAGAATTTTCAGTTTGTTCCATGACTGACTTTGGCTTACAAACCTTGCTTTTATACTTATATTCCAATAAGTTATAATCCTTTTCTAATTGTATCTACATCATTGAATCGTCTTTAGGATGCTAAAATGTTGATCAAGAAGAAGGAGACGTTGCTAGAAACGCTTAAAGAGAGCTTTAATGCAGCAGAAGAAAAAACCAAAACTCTTGATTTATCATTCGAAGATTTTGGGGGTGTTACTGTATTTAATGTTTAGTTCAAATTTTGATGTGGCTTTACTTGGATTCAATTTTCACCCTATGTTTATCATAGAATCAACAAAGGAGGAGGTTGATGCTTTTCAGAAACCATAGGAGGAACTAACAGAGATAGAGAAAGACAGAAACAATGAAGCGGCCTACTTTCTGCTCCATTAACTTTTTATTCATTTACTTCTGCAACTATCGTGTGGAAACTTGAATTTAGAAATTGAAGTTTCTGTTTCAGAATAGGTCCACTACGAAAATGTTATGAAAGAAAAGGTTCTTCCTCAAATCAATGAGGTAGAGGCAGAATAAAAAGAATCGTATGGTTGATATTTATGCCTTTCTAGATATACTAACCAATTGTAGCCCATGTTTTATTTTGCAACATTGCAGGAGAGCTAAAGAAAGGCTTGTCATTTGTCTTGAGAGTGAAATTGACGCTTAGAAGACTTGGATGGAAGTACAACAGAGAAACTAGATGCCAAATCAGAGACTTATGCATGAGGGAAATTGGTATGGGGTGGTTAATTTTTTATGTTTCACTTTGAAAATACCCTAATATATGTTTGCAGTTGGATTCCATGTTATCTTTTGATTTTCTGCAGATATTCAGAATCAATTGATGATTTTAGGATGCTGTATCTGGAGAAAAAGCATAGAATTTTAAGGAAAATGCATATTTATAAAGCCTTTCGGGAAAGATTAGATCAATTTTCTCTAAACCAGCCAGTTTTTTTTCACATAACCATGATGAAACCTCCATTTCTTCTTTCTCTGATGACTTTTTTCTGGGGATCATCTTTGTTAGTGTTATCTGCTTCTTCACTGCCTCTCCCTTTGATTTCTCTTTTGTTGTTGAAATCTTCCCTCGAAGACCATATTTTCAGTTTCAGAGACCGGGACCCTACTCCTGCATTTTCCAAGCCTGGTTTTGAACACCCTTTTTGGTGTTCATGGTCTGGTGTCAAGGGCAATCCTAAAACAGCTCAAGTCACGTCTCTGGATCTCTCACATTTATTCCACAGAAAATTAGATATTTGAGGAGTTTGGTGAACTTGAATTTGAGTGGGATTGATTGTCCTCTCCAATGAGCCATTTTTGAACTCCAGCAATTTAGAACTCTTGATATTAGCCGTAACTATTTCAATTCAACGTTCCGCTTTGGGTTTCCAAGCTTAGGTTCTTGAGAATCTTCAATGGATATAGCAACGATTTTGAGGGTCCATTATCGATAGAGTTCTTGTGGTTACGTTTCTTGGAGCAGCTCAATCTCGAGGGAAGTTACTTTGAAGATGAAATAGCAGCTATTTCTGGAAGGTTTACCAGGTTGATGTTGCTTGACCTGGCTGGAAATGTACTGGAAGGCACTTTACCGTGTCAACTCGGATTCTTGACTCAGCTTGAACGGATAGAGATTGGCTACAATGCTTTAAAGGCACCATACTAGTAGTGTTTGCATTGTTATCGAATCTCAAGTACTTGGACGTTTCAAATTATACTCTTTCAGGTCTACTCCCGAAAGAACTCGGTAATTTAACTAAGCTGGAAGCTTTGTACTTTTTCAAGAATCACGGGTGAAATCTGGGTGAATTACACGAACTTTAAAGCTTTTCAGGGTTCTTGATTTATCCGACAATCATCCCAGTAGTGCAATTCTAGAAGGAATCAGTGAGTTACCAAAATCTCAACACTTACCTGGAACAACAATCTTAGCGACTTTCTCCCACAAAAATTGGGTTCAAATGACTTGCTATCACTTGATGCCTTGTCGAATTCTCTCACAGGTCCAATACCTCCAAATCTTTGCTATGGGAAAAAGCTATTCAGACTCATAGTGTTTAATAACATGTTCAAGAATGAGCTACCTGGAAGCTTTGTAATCCAAAACAACCTGGAAGCTTTGTAATCCAAAACAATCTTCTCAACGGTACCATATCTTACTATTTCGGACTGTTGAAAACCTGACGTTTGTGGAAGCGAGTAAGAACGACTTTACTGGCGAGATTTAGAAAGAATTGCTATGGGAACAAGCTATTCAGACTCGTACTGTTTAATAACATGTTCAAGAATGAGCTACCTGGAAGCTTTGTAAACTGCACTTCACTTTCAAGATTCCGAATCCAAAACAATCTTGTCAACGGTACCATATCTTACTGTTTCGGACCGTTGAAAAACTTGACGTTTGTGGAGGTGAGTAAGAACGACTTTACTGGCGAGATTTAGAAGGATGTTAGCTATACACCGATGTTACAGTTCCTTAACACCTTCGAGAACTCTTTTATGCAGCATTGTCGAGCAACATTTGGGGTGCACCAAGTTTGCAGATATTCTCAGCTAGTCAGCTAAGCTAACTGGGGAAATCCCTGATTTCATTGGTTGTAAAAACGTCTACAAAATCGAGCTCCAATGTAGTTCTCTAAACGAAAGCATCCCCTGGTACATTGATCATTGTGAAAAGCTTGTCTTCGAATTTAAGCAGAAATTTGTTTACTGGAATAATTCCATGGAAATATCTACGCTTCCTTCAATAACTGTTGTTGATCTTTTGCATAATTTGCTCACTGGAACTATCCCTTCAAACTTCGAAAACTGTAGCACTGAAAAATTTCGACGTATCCTTTAACTTGCTAACTGGCCCAATCTCATCGCCTGGTCTGATATTTCCTAACTTACACCCTTCATTGTTTTGCGGTAACAACGACCTTTACGGCAGAAATTTAGAGAGACCGTGCCCAGTTGAGGCGATGGCCATAGGTGACATGGAAGTTAGTAACTAGCTGCAGCAGCCATAGAAAATGACTGGAGTTATCATTTGTATTATGGCAGCTGTTTTTGGGATTGGCTTGTTTGTTCTCGTAGTTGGTACCCGATGTTTCCATGTGAATTACAGTTGCAGGTTCAGTGAACGATCGTGAGATCAGACCATGTAAATTGATCGCCTTCTAGCGTTTGAATTTCACTGCTGATGATGTACAAAGCGGAGATGCCACGCGGCGAGATCATGGAGGTGAAGAAGTTGTGTGGTAAGAATTAATAGACGTCTAACACGAAAAGGTGTGTTGGCAGAGGTTGACGTACTGGCGAACGTCAGGCACCGTAACATAGTTGGCTTGTTAGGTTGTTGCAGCAACAGGGAGTGCACGATGCTGCTCCATGAATACATGCCCAACGGCAACTTGGACAACTTATTGCATGAAAAGAACAAAGGGGAGAACTTGGTGGCCGATTGGGTGACAAGGTACAAAATTACCCTTGTCGTTGCACAAGGCAGTTGTCATCTTCACCATGACTGTGATCCGGTGATCGTCCACTGCGGTCTCAAGCCAAGTAATATTTTATTGGACAGTGAGATGGAGGCCAGATGGGCAGATTTTAGAGTTGCCAAGTTGATCCAGAGTGATGACTGATGAGTCTTTCATTGTCGGTTGGCTCCTATGGCTACATTGTTCCAGGTTCGTTCTTTAACTCTGTTCATTTTAGTCTAGGACTATTGATTATTGTTGTCCTACGCTTTATATTTGGTGCATGTTAATTAATAATCGAGATCCCATATATGAAATTTGTTTGTTATTTTTGTTGACTTCTTTTATGCTTGAATATCCAGTAAAAACATGGAATAAAGTCGATTTGTTTAGCCTAAAATGTATTAAAAAAAAGAATTATACCAACAATGAGTTTATTTAACAGGATTAGATATTAAATTCTTTTAATTTTTAATGTTATAAATAAAATAAACTAAATTAAAATTATCACTTGATAATAAATTTATATTGTATAAAAAGAATAAAAATTTATCATTAACCTCTTAATGATTTGACAACTTAACGTGGTTTAGCGATCTCATTAGTTAGAATAGCTAGAATTAAACTTGACATTGACACACGTCATATTGTTGAGTGGGGTTAGGACACCTATTACTCTTATTCCTCTTTTGGGTCCAAAAGAAAAGGATTCACTTCTCTTTGTTGATATCTTCTCATGGCTTGCTCTCTTTGCTATTCACTGTACACCTGCTTTTACAATTTCAAGAATAGAAAAACGCAGGTGTTTATAGACTTGTTTTGGGAATTGTTAGCTTTCCACATAACACTGTGAACTTAAACTAATGGACTTTACGGCATCGCATGGTATCGTGAACTTGTTGCATTGGATGGCCTATTATTGTGCGTGACTACTATGTGCTTTTTGTTCTTTACTTTTCTTAGCATTACTTGTTTGACTTTTAGCATTTGTTTGGATTTTTGTGGCTTATGATGATCATGTTTGTTCTCCGAGAAAAACATTAACTTTATATATTTTAAAAAAAAATATGCTTATACTCTCCAGGTCGATGAAAATAGTCTATAGCTTCGGGGCAGTGTTGATGGAGATTTTAAGTGAAAAGATCGGTGGATTCGGAATTCGGCGATGGAACAACATTGTGGATTGGGTAAGGTGTAAAATCAAGAGCAAAAATAAGATTACCGACATTTTAAGTAAATATGTCTCATGTTTATCGGTAAGGGGAAAAATGGTGTAAATGCTTAGAATTGCGTTGTTTTGCACCAGTTCGAACCCGACGGATTGGCCATCGATGAAGAATAATTTGATGATGCTGCAAGAAGCCTGGTCCAAGAGGAAACTACTAGAGAGCGTAGTTAATGGCGTTGGCACTGCTGATGGAATTGACTATTCTTTAGCACAAAAGGTTTATAGTGAAATGTTAATATTGAATTTCTTTCTCTTTCCTTTCCTTTTTTTTATTTTATTTTATTTTTAAAATGGTGGGAAGGAATTGGTACATAAAAGTGATTTTTCTTTTTATTTAATAGAATTTTCAAGGGTTCTTGTTCTAATTTCTCAGGTTATATTTGAATTAGTGAAAAAATATATCTGAAGTGTGTTAATGATGTTTATCAAAGACCCATAACAGGAGTTCAAAAGTCAAGTTTTTGAAGAATAATGTGAAATGATCTACTTTCAGAAAAATAGTATTAATAAAGCTTAATTTAAAGATAATGATGAGTTTACTTTGAAACTTTTATGATATGTCGAAATAAATTTTATCTCACTTTTATGATATGTTGAAATAAATTTTATCTCTGTATTTCTCAAGTGGTTGATTAAATGGAAAAAATAAATAAATTCTATATTGGAGAAAATTTGGGAGAGAATGAAAGGATGGGTGAGCTACTCAATTTCTTCGCTTTAATCCTCCTGTATAACAAGAAATTAAGAGAAAATAATTATAATTTTTATAATATAATTATTTTTTTAGTTTTAATTCAAAAAATATCTTTTATGATTAATTGGATTTAATTTTTTCCTGTTTAGATCTATATTTTATCTAATAAATTTAATTATATTCACAAATTAAGTCATAAAAATATTAGGTTCGGGTTACATCAGTTTGAGTTATTTTCAGGTTGATTTGACATCGATTTGAGTTGAAATTAACCCGACTCGAACCTGAATTGAATATGATGTTAAATCAACTTGAAAATGACCCGAACTAATTTGATCTGGACCTGACCAGATACGAGTTAAACTATTAAATTGATCTGACTCGACCTATATCTTATTTGACATAACTTGACAGAATCCGACTGAAGCCTGAACGATTATCTGATTTCACATCGTATATTTATGTATGTTTCGAGAAACATCAATTTCCAAATTAGGGTTACTTGGAAGGACTACTACTAAATACATAAAAGAGGCTGTACCCTGTCTAACCACCATTTTCACAATTTTGAAACCCTTTGGTTATTTAGGTTATATGTGATCGTCAAAGAAAAGCTCAATTGAGATTGGTTGGATGTAGGGACCTTAGCTTTTATATGTGCCAACCAAATACTCTAATTTTGATTTCAATATCCGATCCAATAGTATTAAAAATATGTATTATTGGTAGATAAACATATGATCAGTTAGTAGAGTATTTGAACTTTTCGTTGATAAAAATATATATATTATTATATTATATATATATATATACACTCTACAAACATATCACATGGATATACAACATTAAAATATAATATTATAATATTAATATGTCATACTATACAATATATAATAATAAAAACTATATAAAGAAATGCAAACAATACACTAGCCGTTGGAAATTTCAAAATTGGTCACCTTTTAACCTAAGCATCATCTACTTTTACATTTCATATCGTTACACAATTCCTAGGTTTCATGCAAAAATAAGAAGAAAAAAAAGGTGACAAAGGACCTGATTGTTCTTTTTTGAATAAAGAGGGCTCTATTTTCAAACAACAGAAAAAGGTCAAAATAGCAGATAAGAGAATATTCATGCCAAACGACTATATTAACGGTAGTTACATTTGAAATCTACTTTGTCCATAACATATATTTTTATTTAAATAATAATAATTCGAGTTAGACCGATTTGAATTATAAAAAAAGCTTATACAAATTATAAAAAAATATAATTTTTTCAATTTAACCTACCATTCGATTTATTTAACATTTTATCCTTTTCAGTGGTTAGCATTGAAATTGGCCTAATTTGGATTTTATGACTAAATTGTAAAGAAAGAAAGAAAGCGAGTCCCATTGATGATTACAAGGGATGCATTAAACAAATAATTAAACCATCTTTAAAGGTCACAACTCAACTATAACCTAATGCCAACTATTTACACTAATTTTCCTTTTAAAATCTAGTTATTTCTAGTTTAATGTATGAGTTTCAAAGAAATTAATAATTTTTCCGCTCTAAAATATATCAATTCTTAATTATTTTTGAAAATATTATTAAGTAGAACTATTTACATATTTGGGTTAATTCTAAAAAATCACTCGACTATGACTCAAATTCTAAATTGATCCATAAAATTCAAAATATATTAATTGAGCCTTCAAAATTCCAATATCGTATCAATCATATTAGTATTCTAGCAAAAAAATTAGCTTAAACGTCAAATGGTAGCTCAAATCTGAAGAGAAACATATTTAAAATGTATGGATCAAATTGTATATAGTGTACCTATTGCAAGGACCAGTGACTAAGTTGGAAATCTATTTTGGGGACAAAATTGAATTGAAGAGGTTTTTATATGGAATAAAGTGCAATTTTACCAATGCTAATTTTCATTTTTTGGTGGGTCAAGGCCTCTACTTAACATTCTTAAATTTTATTGACATTATTTTTTTATTGTCATATTAAATTCAAGCTATTTATATAATAGACGTACACACATTTAAAATTTGTCATCATGTTTTAAGTATATATCACGTAGTTTCAGAAACTATCATTTAATGACTAAATTAACTTAAACGTATAATTAATATAAGTGTTAACTATATGGTTGATCACTTACGTTTGTGTTTTCTCCACTTTTCCTCACTGATTTCAAAAAAATATAATATATGATCACTTTCGTTTTTATTTAATTAAGATGTGGTGACCATAAGTTAACAGCGTGATAAATTAAGTGACGTGACAGTTAAATATTTTGGTATAATCACATATTTGGTTATTGTTATTTACATATTCTCTCAATTTAAATTGAATTACGCCACTTGTCACAATTCGGTTTGAGGACTTACATTATTTTAATTTAATATTTATTTTTCACCAATCAAAGGATGACATGTGTCACACTCTGATTGAAAGAAAAAAAAAAGCAAAGTAAGTTGGGGACAAAGGATTTAAACTTGAGTCACTTAGAAAACCAATCACGTACCCAACCATTAAGCCAAGACCAATACTTGGTCTAAAATAAACATGTTTGGTACATGTCACCATCTTATTGGTGAAAAATAAATATATTAAATTTATTTTAGTTTACTAAAAGTAAGATTAAATTGAGAGAATATATAAATAATATAGATCAAATATGTGATTATACCAAAATATCATGTCACCTAATCTGTTATGTTAAAGAGAGTTAATCCGTTGTGACCACATCTTAATTAAATTAAAATGAAAGTGATCATATCTTAATTAAATAAAAAATGAAAGTGATCATATATTATGTTGTTTGAAAGAAGTGAGAAGAAGTAGACAAAACACAAACATAATTGATCAACCATGTAATTAACTCTTAATATAATATTGATATTTAAAAAAATTAAAATATTTCAAAATTTATAGACTAATTTTAAATCTAAATGATAGATTCGCGAGGTGAGAGAAATTAATCCTACATAATTTTGTAGTCATTACTAGAATTGAAAAGGGTAAAATTGTAACTTCACTTGGATCGAGGCTACAAATGTGTATCGGGATCGAATTTGATGGTTCCAACTTAATTCGACCTTATAAGATTGAGTTTATTTTGAAAAATTAAATTTGGGTTAGGTCCTTTCTTTTTAAACATAATGTTAATTTAGATTAAATTCAAGTTTAATATAAAAATCTTCGACTTGATCTAAATAAATAATATAATTATCTTTTATACATCTTTATTTAATTGAATTAATAATTTTTTTTATATATATTTTAATCCGATGTTAATTTTATCTAATAAAAATATAATTACATATAGTAGAATCAGATATAGTTTTCACTTAAAAATTAAGTTGGATGTAACATTTCTAAGGGTCGACAAACCCCGGACTGAGATGTATCAAGTGCGACAGTTTTAATATAAGGTTAAGGAAAGACGTTACTGAAAATATTATTATTTTTTCAATATTTTCGATAAAGTGCTACTTAAAACATTATTTTTCTATAAAAAATGTTAATATTGTGAGCTATCTAAAACATTATTTTTTTACAAATTTTTAAATAACAAAATTAATATTTTTGATAAAAAATAATATTTTTAAATAACATTTTATCAAAAATATTAAAAAATAACATTTTCGATATTATTTTTACTTAATCGTATATTAATATACTGTAATAAAGTAGAACTACATGGGCCCAACCCCGCCGACAAATGCCCATACTTGATTGAGACTAGGTCTTAAAAGTCCATTTCGATGACGAAATACCAGCGTAATGTGACCCAGACCGACTTTCTTCTTCTGAATTATTCTGGACGACGTCTTCTCTAATCACAAAACTGAAAGCGAAAGCTTCTGTTTTTCAATTTTTTTTCTTCAAAGAGAGACGTTACCCCATGGCACGTGACCATCTCTTCATCTCTCTGACAGTTCAAAAATCAAATCTTTTTAACTCTCCCTAGCCTCTCTCCTCTAAGCAAATGTATTCTCTATGTACATCAAAGACTTTGCCTTTCAATTCCATTTTGTTTCTGTGTATGTTCTTTTTCATTGTTAAGAGACAAAGGGAAGTCACTTAAGTCAGCACCCTTTTTAAAAAATGGAGCCGTTGTTGAAGAAAAAAGATGATTGGTGTGAATCAGTGAGTGCAGCTGAGTTGAGTAGCTGCAATCGTGATGAGTCTAAAGAGAGTAATACTAGTAGTAATTCAAGTGGATCGAGTTCTGGGAATTTAGTTCGTAAGATTAGAGGGTCTGGGTCACCTCCTCTTATAGGTTGGCCTATCAGGAGAGCAATTTCTGCTACTCCTTCAGTGTCAAAGGACGTTTCTAATGGAAATGGAGATGAGAAAGTATGTAATGAAGATGATAAGTTCAGAAAAATGGGTTCAAAGATTAATGGTTAGTGATGTTGCTTTTTTGAGTTCAAAATGTTGATTTCTGGTTTTATAGACCAAAGTTTGAACCTTTTTTAATTCTTTTTGTGGAATTTTTAGAGATTGATATGATGAAGGAAAGGTTTGCAAAGTTGTTGCTTGGTGAAGATATGTCAGGATCAGGAAAAGGGGTTTGCACAGCTTTGGCTATTTCAAATGCCATTACTAATCTGTGGTAAACTCTCTCTCTCTCTCTCTCTCTCTCTCTCTTTATGAATTTATGGATTTCTAAGGGGTTTTTTTTGTTACAATTTAATTAATTTTGTTTCTTTGTGAACTTTTGAAATTTTAAAATTACTATATATAGCTACAATTTTTGGGCAATTATGGAGATTAGAGCCTATTTCTGAAGAGAAGAAATCCATGTGGAGAAGAGAGATGGAATGGCTTGTTTGTGTTAGTGACCACATTGTTGAGTTCATACCTTCTTGGCAAAATTTCCCAGATGGAAGCAAGCTTGAGGTGATTTTGAAAGTTACTTTCTCAATTTGTACAATTCTGTTTGTTTGCTGAGAAAGCATGGGAAAAACAAAACATCTTTCAATCTTTTGAAGCTTTCATTGTCGTAGTTGAGTGGTGAATTCAGCTGCTTTTGTGCTTTTAAATATGAAACTCAACAATAACAGACCAATTTGGAGTTTCTTTGTATTTTAACCTGTTTGTTCTTTGATTTTGCATAGGTGATGACTTGCAGGCCTAGATCAGATATTTTCATTAATCTCGCGGCCCTTCGAAAACTCGACGAAATGCTTCTGGTAAGAACTAACATTGGTTGTTTTTCGATTCGTGGTTGTCGTAATTTTGGGGGAGAAAGTTCATGTTTCTAACTATTATAAGCTGGTGCAGGATATACTAGATAGTTTCACCAGCACTGAGTTATGGTATGTTGATCAAGGGATTGCAGCTCCGGAGGCCGAGGTTCGGCCTCTTTTTGGCAAACAATTCAACGCCAGGAGGAGAAGTGGTGGCTACCTGTGCCCCGTGTGCCTGCTGGTGGTCTTAGTGATAATTCAAGAACGCAACTGAATCACACCCGGGAGTGCACGAGTCAAATATTGAAAGCTGCTATGGCTATCAACGGCATTACTCTATCGGAAATGGAAGTTCCGGACTCGTACTTGGACACTCTTCCGAAGGTCGGGAATTTCTGTTATGTCTTATGTTCACGAATTGCATTTAGGTAGTTGGGCAATGCTGAAAGGTTCTTATTTTGCTTGAAATTTTGTTGCAGAATGGAAGAGCTTGTCTAGGAGACCTAATTTATAGATATATTAATTCAGATCAGTTCTCAACTGTGCGTCTGCTTGATTTCCTTGATCTATCCTCAGAACATGTTGCCCTTGAGATTGCAAACCGTGTCAAAGCCGCAATATATGTGTGGCGTCGAAGATCTCATTCGAAGCCCTCAATATATCCGAACCGATCCACTACAAAATCATCATGGGAAATGGTGAAGGACCTTATGGTTGATGGAGACAAGAGAGAGTTTCTAGAAGAAAGAGCTGAAAGTCTCTTGCTTTGCTTGAAGCAACAATTCCCGACTATGACTCAAACTACCTTAGATACCAGCAAAATCCAGTGCAACAAGGTTCCAAATTTCGAATCCAAAAGCTACTTCAGTTTTATCCCTTCGAATGTTATTCAATTATACCTTATTCTTTTCGAACTTGCAGGATGTCGGAAAGTCCATTCTTGAAAGCTATTCAAGAGTTCTCGAAAGCCTTGCATACAACATTGTTGCACGTATTGACGATTTGTTATATGTAGACGACTTAACGAAGCATTCAGATAAGTTGTCGCCGGTTCCTACTGTTAGTGTAAGTGCACACAAAAAGGTATCCATCCCGTATTCGGTGCCCGTCTTAAACACTCCCTACAAAACATCTATCACCTCCACACCGAGCATTTCACCTGCACCACTGATCAGCCCTGCAAGGGGAGAAAGAACTCCTTTCCTCAAGGAGAACAACAGCAACAATGTCAACGCCAATGCCAACGATAACATCATTCTCAAGCCGCATCGCCGAGGCTTCGGAGTGAAGAGGGTCTTGACTAATTATCTCGGAGTTGATTCGAAACCAAAGATATGTGGTAACCCCACCACGGATAGTTCATCAATCCTGAAGAACTCTACTAACAGTACAAAGAACTCGGGGAATCAAAAGAGTCATCAAGTTGTATCAAAACAATCATCGGCATACAAGAATGGGACGAAAATGCGACAGAATCCTCCTATCCTTTACGAGAAGACAAACAAATAGATTGGTTAATGGACAGTAAACTCCTGGTGGTTGTCTTGACTAATTATCTCGGAGTTGATTCGAAACCAAAGATATGTGGTAACCCCACCACGGATAGTTCATCAATCCTGAAGAACTCTACTAACAGTACAAAGAACTCGGGGAATCAAAAGAGTCATCAAGTTGTATCAAAACAATCATCGGCATACAAGAATGGGACGAAAATGCGACAGAATCCTCCTATTCTTTACGAGAAGACAAACAAATAGATTAGTTAATGGACAGTAAACTCCTGGTGGTTGTAAAGTAGTGATGTGTCCTCCATTCTTTTGTTTGTCCTCCCATTCTTGTATGTTAATAGCAGCAGCTGTTATTTCTGAACTCTACTAACAGTACAAAGAACTCGGGGAATCAAAAGAGTCATCAAGTTGTATCAAAACAATCATAGGCATACAAGAATGGGACGAAAATGCGACAGAATCCTCCTATACTTTACGAGAAGACAAACAAATAGATTAGTTAATGGACAGTAAACTCCTGGTGGTTGTCTTGACTAATTATCTCGGAGTTGATTCGAAACCAAAGATATGTGGTAACCCCACCACGGATAGTTCATCAATCCTGAAGAACTCTACTAACAGTACAAAGAACTCGGGGAATCAAAAGAGTCATCAAGTTGTATCAAAACAATCATCGGCATACAAGAATGGGACGAAAATGCGACAGAATCCTCCTATTCTTTACGAGAAGACAAACAAATAGATTAGTTAATGGACAGTAAACTCCTGGTGGTTGTAAAGTAGTGATGTGTCCTCCATTCTTTTGGTTGTCCTCCCATTCTTGTATGTTAATAGCAGCAACTGTTATTTCTGAACTCTACTAACAGTACAAAGAACTCGGGGAATCAAAAGAGTCATCAAGTTGTATCAAAACAATCATAGGCATACAAGAATGGGACGAAAATGCGACAGAATCCTCCTCGATATACTGTCACTTAAAGCTATTTTTTACGAGAAGACAAACAAATAGATTAGTTAATGGACGGTAAACTCCTGGTGGTTGTAAAGTAGTGATGTGTCCTCCATTCTTTTGGTTGTCCTCCCATTCTTGTATGTTAATAGCAGCAGCTGTTATTTCTGAACAAAACAGCCAACGTTTTTTCATAGGGTGCTAATCAATGTAGTTTGTACCGATGATTATACCGTTTGTGTTGTGGTACTGGTATTGTTTCGAATCGATACGTATACGATACAGACTAATTGAGTGGTGTTAATGAAGAATTGTAATTGAATCACGAGATGTTTTGTTCACCTTCTCTCTTCAACCTTGTGGTGCCTATTCAGTAGGTTTAATGATCAAATAACATTCTAATAAGAACTTAATGTTTTCAAATCAGTTCGAATAAGGGACTAACGTTTTCAATTATACTTGAACAAAAAATGGAAAAGAAATTATTGCTGAAAACGTTAAACCCTTATTTAATAATATTAAAAAGCTTTTGCACAAATCAAATGACTTTATTAATAAATGATTATTTTTATCTCTTGAGATTTTAGATTTAAACACCGTGTAATATATTATATTATATTCACCTCAGAAAACATTACGTCTTTATTTGAGCATATTTATATGATTTTAATTAAATAAATGAACCTTTAACATCGAAGTTGTTATAGTATAGAGGTGAGTATTATTGCCTATGACCCGAGTTCGATCTACTGCAACGGTGCTTTTTTTTTTTTTTTTTTCCTTTTGAATTTTTGAAAGAAACAGAAGAAATTTGTCTTCGTTACGCAACTTATTATTTTCTTCATATTTTCCGGGAAAAAAATTGAAAATGAAAACGCCATAAAAGTTTCACAGCTACGGCCATATCACAAGGATACAGATCTACACTTTTCTAATCTTCTTCTTTGAAAACTCTTCGCCGTTCCAATCAAATGACGACCAGCATCCACGTCACCGCTTTAGACAGCGTCGTCAACGTGAACTCCCTCTTCACACTCGCCGTCTTCATCGGCTTAGCCTGGAATCCCTACGATTCCAGCAACACTCTCGTAGACCCAGGCACGAAATGTTTCCCCAACTCGAAAATCGCCGAGGATTTGATTAAATTCCACGTCTACTCCTTCAGCTCTTTCCTCTTCTCTAGCCTCGTAGCTTTGGCCCTCAAACAAGCAATCAAGCTCTCCAAATCCCATTCCCTCAACATCCACATCAATTTCCGTGGGTCCGAGATTCTTGAGCGCGTCGATGTTAACAAGACGTTGCTTCGGGTCGGTATGGTGGTTTCGGGTGCTGGGTCGGTTGCCGGTTGTTTGTTTCTGATGTTGGCTCTGATTAATGTGGTTCAGATCAAGGTCGGAACTTTGGCTTGTGGGAGTGGGCATGCTTTTGCGGCGGTTGTTCCTCTTGTTATTTTGGTTCCTCTTGCTCTTTTGATCTATGTTTGTGTGGGACTTTATGCTTTTACTCGTTAAATTGGGTGAATTAGGTGTTGTTGTATGATCTAGGAACAAAACTTTGAGAATGTTGCTTTAATTTTCCTAATTTGCAATGTTTTTTTAGTATGTTTTGTTGTATAATTGAATTCCAAGACTATAAAGATAAAAACTTTGTTGATGTTTATCTTCTGGTTTCTTTTTCTTGTATGATGAAGTTGTTAACAAAGTGTAGCTTGATCCTGTATTGCCACTCTGGCTTTTGATTAGTGTAGATGTTAATTAGGGTAGATAAGCTCTATGTTTCTGAACAGTGAGTCGTGTTTGGTGAATTGCTGGGGTCTGTATTTGATTTGATACATGAACTGGGAAATGAGTTCGTAATTCAAGGAGTTAAAGATTATTGAGGGCATTGAACTCTCAGTTTTTATTAATCAAGTTGCAGATGGTAAAGTGCCTGAATTTCTATCGATGACTCGAGTTTCTAGCTGAATGCCCACAGAAACTAGTTTAAGAGTTTTAGATTACTGACTTAGGCTTGCTCTGCATGATTCTAGTTTGCATTGGATGATTAACCTCTGGATCGGTTTTATATGGTTGTTAGGGAAAGAGATTCCATGGAAACTTGGTGGACTTGATAACTTGATAGTCAGGCAACTCGAAATCGATGTCCTGGAATAGTAGGTACATCAGCTATTTTGTCTAGTTCCATGTCTATTGTTTTTGGTGGAGTTTGAATTTATTTGGCTATTTTGTTAGCTATTTATATCAGCATACATTGTCGAGAAATGCCTTTGTTTGTGTTCAAGTTGACAAGTATCCCTGTATTGCATTGGAGAAATGCAAAACACCAGTGAAGTACATCTACGTTCTTGTGTTTCTTGTGATTATGACCATTGCATGATTCAACAAAGTCGATGCACATTATGGTTCATGTGGGAAACATGATACCAACAAGGAGGCTGAGAAGCTTGGTCCTTGTACATATGCAGTGCAACATTGGAGAACCCTGGTTTCCCACCGTCGTTGCACTGTAATGGAGAAAAAGGTCAAGAATCCAGCCTGCCTTTGCACTGTTTTGTTTTCTCGTGCTTCATACGATGCTGGATTCAGGCCAGAAATTGCAGTGACCATTCCAAAACGCTGCAGCATTTATGGTCGCCCTGTTGGTTAACAAGTGCAGAGGTATGATTCACCCTGTTGGTTCTTGTGTTAGTTTCAAAATTCTCACGAAGCTATTGTTTATTCTTTTGAACTTTTCACACTGGTTTAAGTTTGAAAACTCCCCATTGCGTAGTAGTTTCTTTGAACAATACTAAATAACTAATTATCTTTGCAAGTCGTGTAATTCTTATTTCTTTGAACAACTATGTTACTCGAATTTGAATGCGCATGTCGGAACTTGCTTGCCACATATGTAAAGTTCTGTTCTTCCTTATGAAACTATCATTTTTGGCAGAGTTTTCGAGCTCATCCCTCTAATGTCTTCTATTAGATGGTCCAAATTACTATAGGAAGACCCACCAGCATTAACAGATTCATTGATAAGCTTAGCCATTTCAGCTGCCGATTTCACAAACTTCTCCTTTCGATCCACCATCACATCGTTCACCATCTCCTCCACCATCTTCCGATTGCAAACATCCTTCATATCCAACCCAATTTCCCACACCTCACTCACAACCCTACTATTCAATTGTTGATCAGCAAAGTACGGCGAACAAATCATTGGCACCCCGGCGATGATGCTCTCCAAAGTTGAGTTCCACCCGCTATGTGTTAAGAACCCGCCGACTGCAGCATGGTTCAATACTGCCTCCTGTGGTGCCCAATCGACAATATAGCCTTGATTCTTAGTCTTGTCGAAAAGCTCCTTTACAACATCCTCCCCTTCACCATCTTTTCCAATCACAGAATTCGGCCTTACAACGAACAAGAACTTGGATTTACTGTTAACGAGTCCATACCAGATCTCTATAAGTTCTTCTCTTTTCATGCTCATAATGCTACCAAAACTTACGTAGACAACAGATCGATTCTGTTGCTTATCAAGCCAAGAAATGCAGCTTCTATCTTCTTCCCAAAGGGTATTTGAAAAGTGATCGTGTGATTCTCCATGTTTTGCGTTGAGTCTGTTGTTTAACTGAGCATTGATGGGCCCGATGGCGTAGACATTAGGGCATTTGGTGCGTATCTGGGATAGTATAGCCCCGTCGAGCTCCTCGGCAGTGTTTAGTATCAAGGCATCAGCTTGAGGGCTCTTTCGTGTATGTTTGACGACGAGTTTCATATATGTATCTTCCATGTCAGTTGCTCGGCACAAACTAGGAAGATCTCGACATCGAAGATAAGTTTCCATGCCTGGTACCGTTGTTATGTACCGGTCCATGTCTTCACTTCCTTTAACAATTGCCATTGAAAACCTAATTAGTTTAGACCAGAAACTAAAATGATCCGGACTCGGACTTAATATGACTCGAACTTAAAATGATTCGAACAAGTACTAAAATGTTCACCTTTGATAGGAAGTTCCCCAGCGGATCATATCAGGGATAAAATAATAAGCCCAGAAACTACAAGGACTGCTGGTTCGGAAATAAACGATGGGGATTCCAAGCTCCCTTGCAACATCAAGAGCAAAGCCGAGAAATCCGTCTACGATCATGTAATCCACCGGAGTGCTCATGTTCACCAGCATATCTCTCAAACTCTGCTTGATTTTCATTTCTGTGGCCTCTTCATACATCTTCAGGAACCAAGTCCCTGACCTGGTATGATCAAGAGGGAGACCATCGGTTATGGTCCTGAGCTCGAACCCCGGATATCTGACAAAGTGGGCAGCCATGTTGGTGAACTTGAGGAGGCTTTCATGGTTGTGGTGGGAGTTGAGAAAGGTGATTCTGAAGCCGGTGAGAGCTAGCAGTTCAGCAAGCTTAATCATGGGGTTCATATGGCCTTGTGATGGTACGGGAAAGAAGAGAACATGTGGAGATCGATCCTTATCCATCTAATTACAGGATTTCGTTAAGTGCTCAAACATCAACGTTTTGGCATCTATATAATGGTCAACCGTTTCAACCATTGTGAATAAATAGGATTCTAACTAAACCGGGGTTAAAAATAATCTGACCGGGTTTAACTAATGTTTTGGGCTGTCTAATTAACTTTTCTTGATATATTAGGTCAATTGGGGTGAATATTTGATCGAGTCTAGTAAAAAAATTTGGATTTAATGAATTTGATGAGTCATATTTTATGATTCAAATTTTATTTAATCTTTTAAGTCAAGTTGTTCAAGTTTTTATTTAATTTTAATCATAACTTTTTATAATATTATGATACATTCTAGTTTCAATTTAATCAACTTTCTCTAATAATATATATATATATATATATATTAAGATTTGTAATGTTATTTAATAAATTAAATAACAACTAAAATTATAAAAATATATTTATAATATTATTTTAAATAAGATATTTTTGAAGATAAATTATTTATTGGAGTATAAAAGAGTCAAAGGAATTGAAAGGATCAAATTGAATAAAATATGATCAAATTGCAAAAATATATAATCTTTTATTAATAATAGGAATTGAAGTTACATAGAGATTCATGTTAGTGGAACATGTGATTTAAATTTGGTCCAAAATAGACTTAAAACGAAAGAGTAATTTAACAAATAAGAAAATCACACAAAACTGAAGGGTTAAATTGACAAAAATAGAAAATTGATTTTCAAGAAAAGAATTGAAACTACATAGGCATTTACAATGGTTTAGAAGGGTGTAGTTCAAATTTGGTCAAAATATATATTTAAAATGAAAGATAAATTAAAGAAAAGGAAATCAAATACTAAATATCAAAATAGTCAAATTTTATTTTTCGAATTTTCAAACTGGTAAATTCAAAACCGAAATAAAAATTTTAGTTGACTAAAAAAATTCCAACACAAAAACTTGTTTACACCGATATACTATAAATCAATACTAGCAATAATTGGAAAAATTATGAGGTAATGCTAGGTGGTGAGTTTGGAACTGGCTCTTCTTTCACTTGTTATTGAATTGGGCTTGCGCTACTTGATTCTACTTCGTACGAACGGTTAAACTGTGGATCAGTTCCATAAGGTAAATCAAAATCCATGTTCTTGAATATTAGGTACTGCAGCTGACCAAAGACTCTTTCTCTAGTTCCATGTCCATTGTAATCGGTGGAAGTGGCTACTTTTTACTTCTTTATTTCAGTATAAATAGCTGAGTACCATCTTTGTTTGAGTTCAAGTTATTGACAAGCACCGTCTTCGTTCGAGTTCAAGTTGTCGATCGAAAGCATCCCTGCTGAATTGCTTTGTAGAAATGGAAACCACAGTGAAGTACATCTGCGTTCTCGCGTTTCTTGTGAGTATGACCATTGCTGGGCTCAATGGAGTCGAGGGAACTGCTGATTATTATGGTCCATGTGGGAAACATGACATCGAGAAAGAGGCTGAGAAGTTGGAACCGTGTACATACGCAGCACAGCATCGGAGAGTCCCGGTTTCCGAGCGTTGCTGCAGTATAATGGAGAAAAAGGTGAAGAATCCAGGCTGCCTTTGCGCTGTTCTGTATTCTCAAACAGCATACAATGCGGGAGTGAGGCCGGAAATTGCAGTGACCATTCCAAAACGCTGCAACATTGTTGATCGCCCTGTTGGTTACCAGTGTGGAGGTACAATTCGCATTTCACATTACCTTTACTCCTTGTATGGTGCTAGTTTCAATATTCTAATGAAGCTGTTGTTTATTTCTTGCAGCTTTCACTCTTCCTTAACTCTGAAGACTCCCCATTGCGTGGTATCAGCATGTTGGATTCGCTGTGACATCCAGCATTTTTAAGTTAAATAAAATCTGTTGATGTATCTTTGAATTATAAGAAAGAAGTGTTGTTGTTTCTTTGAATAATACTAAATAAAAGGTCACTTATCTTTGTAAAATGCGTGCTTCTTGTTTCTTGATTACCAGTTTTTTTCCTTCCAAATCTATGCTGTGAATAGGCTAATAATTACATTAATCAAGTACTTGATCTAGATCTGTCATTTCTAACATTTGTAGGTAATCTATTTATCAAGAAAACTGATGCAGTGGAGTTTGAGAATGGTAGTTTTTGAGCTTTTCCTTGTCATGCAGAACATATACGAGACACTTTATTCTCATCGATGGGTATATTACAAGACTTAAGGAGAGTCTTTAGAACACTATGGGAGGGGAACAAGCTTGACGCATAGATACTGAAACAAAACTTCCACTGACTGTGTGAGAACTATATGAATGTCCACCAACTGGTGATGTCCAGGTAAGGGGTAAAACCCAGAATATTAAGGTATTGCCAACCCAAAAGTTGGCAAATTAGGTCCATATTGCGAGAAAGATCTTGTTGATTCAAGCCCATTGTACACTTGATGCTGATGAAAGGAAGGTGGACCTATAACATGATTATAAGCATGTATTGGTGCTTCTGCTCTCTGTTTCTGTGGCTAAACAACAATTGCTGAATAACATTTTTGTTTTCGGTAACTATCTTTCTCGGTTTCACTTTCATTGGCAGCAGCATAACCTTGATACCTTCCATTAAACTTATAATAACCCTTCTGAACTGTATGCCCAACGCGGCCACACATTTGAACTGTATGAAACTTGTTCTTGTTCAGTGACTAAATTTCCTGCAGCATTAAGTGTGTCATGCATAACTTTATCTAAGCCAGAAATTCACTAATAGTCAAACCAGATTTCATTTGAGAGTGCAGGCCATGGCGCGGGACGAGATCTTTGCACTGGAACAAGGTCCGAACAAGCGAGATATCGTTCCCCATATAGCACAAGTGGTGTAGCAACCAGTGAGATGAGGTAGAACATCTGCACTTACTGTAGAAAGTAACCAAGAGGATAGTAACTTATCCTGTTGATGACGAACCACAAACAATGTATTCTAAATAACCTTCCCTGTCACATTAGAAACAAACTGAGTGGGTGCAACAAAATCATAATATATGTACTACATTAGTCCATAACCATCTATAATCAATATGATCTGATGTTTCCCGAGAATATATACATTTTCAGCTAGTTTCAGTCCCATGCTTAAGAGTATGTTGAATGGAACACATACTTTGATTTGTGAAAACAGAATGGTCAGGCCTAACATCTTGAATGTGATTCTGTTTCGTATGTAAAACAAATACCTAACACAGTAACCCTTACCTTTGAGCTTATGCTTCAACCAATACAATACAAAATAAAAAATATATATATATATATATATATAGAGAGAGAGAGTCTCTGATGCTGCAACGATCAGAAATCCCATAACTAATGCAAAAGAACATTGTAAAATGATAAAATCTAATTATAAATCTAATTTGAGCAAAAAAGATGTAAGACAATTGTAAGCAAGATCTTGCAACTTCAATACCTGCTGAACATGTTTCAAGCTCCTTTCTATTAATTATTTTTTATCTATTATTATCCGATACAAACTTAAATACTATTCATCACTATTGATAAGCATGATTTATACAATTTATAGTTAGATTCTAAAAAAATGAGAAAAAAGAAAAAGAAAAAAAAGAGAGGTCTTATACAGCTGATGGAGGTGTGAAAGTACTCCCAAAGATAGATCCCACAGAAACAAATTGAAAAACACAACTGTTTATAAAAATGCCAAAAACGATGAGCAGGCGATTGATGGACTATGCATTTACAAGGTAATGCTGGGTGCTCAGTTTCAAGTCTTCTTTCAATTGTTATTGACTTAATATGGGCGCTTAACTGTGGATCAGTTTCATTAAATTGTTAAATAAAGATAATACAGAGAAACAACGTGTAACCTATGACTTAATAGAGCAAGCCAACTCAAAATCCATGTTCTTCAATAGTAGGTAATGGCGTAATGCACCTGACCAAACACTCTTTCGCTGGTTCCATGCCTAATGTAATTGGTGGAATTCATATTCATTTGGCTACTTTTTACGTTTTTTTATTTCAGTATAAATAGCTGAGCACCATCTTCATTTGAGTTCAAGTTGCTGGCAAGTATCATCTTTGTTCGAGTTTAAGTTGTAGATCAAAAGCATCTCCGCTGAATTGTATTGTTGAAATGGAAACTCCAGTGAAGCATATGTGCGTTCTCGTGTTTCTTGTGAGTATGACCATTGCAGGGCTCAATGGAGTTGAGGGAACTGCTGATTATTATGGTCCCAGTTGAATTACGTGGAAATTGAATTCGATGATGAACTTCGAGCTTTAATTCTCTTATCATCTCTACCAGACAGTTGGAATGCTACTGTTACAGCAGTCAGCAGCTCGTCGGGAAACATCAAATTAAAATTCGACGATGTTCGAGATCTGGTATTGAGTGAAGAAATTCAACGGAGAGAATCGGGTGAAGCATCAACCTCCTCAGCCTTGCACACGGAGTCCAGAGGAAGAACTTCAGAAAGAAATTCAAATCGTGGAAGATCCAAATCCAGAATGGGAAAATCAACAACAGGAAAGAAAGATTTTACCTGTTATAATTGTGGCAAGAAGGGTCACTTTAAAAGAGACTGCCGAGCACTGAAGAAAGATACCGGCGCACAGGGATCTGCCAACATGACAGAGGAGACAGGTGATGCGATGATTCTAAGCGTCAACAGTCCGATTGAATCATGGATCTTGGATTCAGGGGCATCTTTCCACTCCACCCATACCGAGAAATCATGGAGAACTATGTCAGTGGTGATTTTGGGAAGGTTCATCTAGCTGATGATGAAACCTTGAAGATCGTCGGAAGAGGAGACATCCAACTAAAGTTGCCAAACCAGACCACCTGGACGCTGAAAGGTGTGAGACATATTCCTGGTCTCAAAAGAAATTTGATTTCTGTTGGACAGCTTGATGGAGAAGGATATAGCACAACCTTTTCAGACTGTGAATGGAAGATTACCAAAGGAGCACTCGTCATTGCTCGTGGTAAGAAAACTGGTACTCTCTATGTAACCTCAAATTTAGAGAATATCATTGCAGTCACAGATGTTGATGGAAAATCAAACCTATGGCACCAAAGGCTTGGTCATATGAGCGAGAAAGGGATGAAGACACTTTTGTCAAAAGGGAAGCTGCCGGATCTAAATAATGTAGATGTCAGACTATGCGAGGATTGCATCTTTGGAAAACAAAAGAAAGTCAACTTTGCAAAGATTGGTAAGACACTCAAGGCTGAAAAGTTAGAGTTGGTTCATACTGATGTATGGGGACCATCTCCAGTTCCATCTCTTGCAGGCTCACTATATTATGTCACCTTCATCGATGATTCTACAAGGAAGGTGTGAGTTTATTTTCTGAAGAAGAAATCAGAAGTCTTTGATACCTTCATAAAATGGAAGGCCATGGTGGAAAATGAGACTGGTCTGAAAGTCAAGCGGTTGAGGTCTGACAATTGAGGAGAGTACAAAAATAGGAGATTCAGAGACTTCTGCGCAAACAATGGGATCAAGATGGAGACAACAGTTCCCATGACACCGCAGCAGAATGGTGTAGCAGAGCACATGAACAGAACTCTGAATGAACGTGCCAGAAGCATGAGGATACATGCCGGATTGCCCAAATTTCTATGGGCTGAAGCTATCAACACTGCATCTTACCTTATCAACCGTGGGCCCTCAGTTCCTTTGGATGGCAGAATACCAGAGGAAGTTTGGAGCAGGAAAGAAATAAACCTTTCACACTTAAGAGTGTTTGGTTGTATTTCTTATGTACACATAGACTCTGTTGAAAGAAGTAAACTTGATGCTAAGTCCAACAAATGTGCCTTTGTTGGTTACGGCGGTGATGAGTTCGGTTACCAGTTTTGGGACTATGAAAATCAGAAGATCATCAGAAGCAGAGATGTCATTTTCAATGAGAATGTGATGTACAAAGACAGGTCAACTGTAGAATCAAGAAGCTCCAATACCAAAGCTGAAACAAAGGAATTTGCTAAGTTCGAGGAGATTTCTGGAAATGATGTTCAGATCAGTCCTGAAGCAGTTCAAGAAGAACCAGACACACCGGAGCTAAGACGCTCCTCCAGAATTCCTAAACCAAGCCAACGGTATTCTTCTTCTTTGCACTACTTGTTGCTAACTGACAATGGTGAACCAGAGTGCTATGATGAAGCAATGCAAGTGGAGGATTCAGTCAAGTGGGAGTCTTCCATGAAAGATGAGATGGACTCGCTTATGTCAAATCAGACGTGGGAATCCAGGCAAGAAAGCGCTTCACAACAAGTGGATTTATAGGATCAAAAAAGAGCACAATGGGAGCAAACATTACAAAGCGAGATTGGATGTCAAAGGTTTTCAGCAAAAAGAAGATATTGACTACAATGAAATTTTCTCTCCAGTCGTGAAACTGTCTACTATCAGACTGGTGTTGAAAATTGTAGCTGCAGAAAATCTACATCTTGAGCAGTTAGATGTAAAGACAGTTTTCCTTCATGGTGATTTGGAGGAAGAAATCTATATGAGGCAGCCAGAAGGCTTCATAGAGGCAGGCAAGAAAAACCTGGTATGCATGTTGAAGAAGAGCTTGTATGGTTTAAAACAAGCTCCTAGACAGTGGTACAAGAAGTTTGACAGCTTCATGAATAGCAGTGGTTTTACCAGATGCCAAGCAGATCATTGTTGCTACATCAAGAGGTTCGACGACAGTTTCATTATTTTATTGTTGTATGTTGATGACATGCTCGTTGCAGGCTCAGACATGCAAGAGATTATACACTTGAAGCAAGAATTGTCAAAGCAGTTTGCTATGAAAGATCTGGGCACTGCAAAGCAGATTCTTGGGATGAGGATCAAGAGAGACACAAAGTCGGGGACTTTGATGTTATCACAGGCTGAGTACATCAACAAAGTACTCTCCAGGTTCAACATGCAAGATGCTAAACCAGTAAATACACCTTTAGGTGTTCATTTCAGACTCTCTAAAGAACAGTCACCAAAGACGGAGGAAGAACGTGCACACATGGTAAAGGTGCCGTATGCCTCAACAATTGGAAGTCTGATGTATGACATGGTTTTTACTAGACCAGATATTTCTCATGCAGTGGGAGCTGTTAGTAGGTACATGAATAATCCAGGCAAGGTACACTGGGAAGCTGTCAAATGGATCCTCAGATATCTGCGGGGTACTACAAACAAAGCACTTTGTTTCAAAGGTGGAGATACGATACTGACATGCTATGTAGATGATGACTTAGCCGTAAATATTGACATCAGAAAGAGCACTACAGGGTATGTTTACACTCTAGGAGGTACTGCAGTGAGTTGGGTTTCTCAACTACAGAAGATAGTTGCTCTCTCCACAACTGAAACAGAATATGTCGCTGTTACGGAAGCCAGCAAGGAGATGGTTTGGCTCCAAATTTTCTTGGAAGAGTTAGGCAAGAAACAAGATAACAATGTCTTGTACTGCGATAGTCAAAGTGCTATACATCTAGTAAAGAATCCGTCTTTTCATTCCAGGACAAAGCACATACAATTGCAATATCATTTTATTCAGTCTCTTCTGGAAGATGGGATTTTGAAACTTGAAAAGATTAGCGGAGCTCAAAATCCGGCAGACATGTTGACAAAGACGGTGACCACGGACAAACTGAAGTTGTGTTCAGCTTCAGTTGGCATGCTAGAGTAACAAGACCATAAATGATGCTGCATTGATCAAGGTGTGAAGACAGATTAAAATCAATCTTCAAGTGGGAGATTGTTGGAAAAGTCAAGAAAATGGGGCTATAAAGGGGGCTGATTTTTTCAACAATGGAGAGCACATTTTCAGCAAATGGGGCACCGAATTCGATGCCCCAATTTTTAATTATAATTGAAATAGGATTAATTACAAGATTAGTCCCTTAGCTTCAACTATAAATACCCTAGCCCATTTAGCTTCAAAATCATCCCAAAATCATCCACTTCTCTCTCAAGTGTGTTTTGTAAACACCTGTAAATTTTCTCTTTAGTAAAAGATCTGCAGCAGTCCGGAGACGTAAGCACAATTGGCTGAACTCCGTTATCAATTTTTCGGGTATTATTTTTCCGCTTTTATTTCGCATTCTCACTATTCTGATTATAGAAAAATTACTTGTTACTCATTTATTTCACAACATGCATGACTAATGCTTCAATATTCTAATGAAACTATTGTTTATTTTTTGCAGATTTCACTCTGCCTTAACTCTGAAGACTCCATCAGCAGTATAAGCATGCTGGATTCACTGTGACATCCAGCATTTTCAAGTTAAATAAAAATCTATTGATGTATCTTTGAATTATAATCAATAAGTGTTGTTGTTTCTTTGAATAATAATAAACAAAAATGTAATTTCTTTGCAAATCGTCTGCTTCATATTGAATAGAGTATGCATTTGAATACGACAGAGTTGGCAAGGGTTATGTGTTAATTTTTTGGGAGGAAATTTTAGTCATTTGTGAAAATAATTAGGTTTAGCTGAATTCTGAACATTATTTACAGCAAAACCTTGGGTGAACAAATTGGTTGAGAAAAATAATCCCGAATTCGATAGCTTCTTGAAGCTTACTATGTTTGTTTACTCATTTGCAAGAGTTCATTTTAGCAAGATTGATTTTAAATTGCATTTTAGAGACCATAAGTTAAACTCTAAGAAGCATTTGTGTAAAACCTTTGTTTGCAAACTCCTATAATGACGATATGTATTTGCTGTTTTTGTGATCATATGTTTATGTATCTATGTGTTTGACATGTTTATTTGATGCATATTAGTGTAATAGAAAAGAATGTTAGATGTTAATGATCATATACGAATGATATGCTTTTGTGTCTGGTGAATGATGGCTATAAAGTAATTTTATACGTATTTGCTTAGAAGTTATAATGATGTCTATGATCCTTTAAAGTTATCAATGATGCTTGAATCAAAGATTGATAAAGCCTTTGTTGAATCTTGTGTAATTATTTAATCCTTGTAATTTCAATAAACTATTTGATATGGTCCTGAGCTCGAAACCAGCAGGGTATGTGGCAAAGTGGGCAGCCATGTTGGTGAACTTGAGGAGGCGTTCATGGTTGTGGTGGGTGTTGAGGAAAATGACTCTGATGCCGGTGAGGGCTAGCAGTTCAGCAAGCTTGATCATGGGGTTCATATGGCCTTGTGATGGGATGGGGAAGAAGAGAACACGTGGACATCGATCCTTATCCATCTAATTTCAGGATTTTTACTTCAAGGTGTTTGAAGTGCTCAAACATCAGGGTTTTTGCAGCAATTTAATAATCGACGATTTCTCCTAGGCTGCCTGAAATCAAATCTCAAAAAGTTTTAAAAGATTAAAATATACTCATAATCCCTATATATTTTTTACGCATTTAGAATTTTCTCTAAAAATATAGTATTTGCGCGGATGTGTCGAAGACACGTATTACCACGACCACGACCACGACCCGACCCGAGACGAGACGGCGACGGCGGCGGCGCGCTAGAGTCCCCCTTGTTCTCTATCACTCAACAAGGAAGTGGGAAAGCCAAGCCTTAAATACCATTCCCAATAGTGTTTCCAATACTATGTGAGATTGAGCATTACCAACACTTGTTCCCAATACTATATGGGATTGAGCCTTAAATAGTGATATTATTTTTGAATGTTTTGCTTAAAATTGCAATAATCGCGATTGATTGTAGATTGACTTTTAATTATGACATATTTAATCGTATAATACTAATGCAATTGGTTGCTGATTCAGTTGTTTTAAGGTGCATGATTGTTAATTGTTTCCTGAATAATCACATTGTATTGGAAACAAGTGTTGGTAATGCTCAATCCCACATAGTATTGGAAATACTATTGGGAAAAGTATTTAAGGCTTGGCTTTCCCACTTCCTTGTTGAGTGATAGAGAACAAGGGGGACTCTCGCGCGCCGCCGCCGCCGCCGTTCGTCTCGTCTCGGGTCGGGTCGGGTCGCGAACTTGGACTATCGCAATGCGAATATGTAAATCGCAATGCGATAGTCGAAGTTTGCGTTGCGATAGTCCAAGTTCGCGTTGCGATAGTCGACTATCGTATTGCGATTTACATATTCGCTTTGCGATAGTCCAAGTTCGCATTGCGATAGTCGAAGTTCGCATTGCGATAGTCGAAGTTCGCGTTGCGATAGTCGAAGTTCGCGTTGCGAATCTGGAAACTGATTTGCGATACCGGAGATCGCGTTGCGAATTATCGATCGCATTGCGATTTAGTTGGCCATTTTGGCAAATCCAAAAAAAGTTGGTTAAAATCGTATATTATAAGGTATTTTTGGTCACTTAGGTTATTTTCTCTTATAAATATCATCATTCAAAAATTATCCTATTCTTATTTTAATCACTAATTTAAAAAATTTCAATTTATTCATTAAACTTTCGATTTACTTATATGTTGGTCACTAGAGCGTTAAATTAGAAATGAACAAGTTACATAGAGGCCATGACTTTTTTTTTGGTGACACAACATCCACTTGTCATCAACGCCATTTTCCTTTTTTTTTTATTTTATCTTTTTCCTTTAAAGATGAAAGTTTTACAATTTCATCATTGTGTCACGCCAATATCGAAATGTCCATTCTCTAGCGTATTCTTCAACTCAAGACATCGAAAAACTTATCTCATCATCTCCTCCAACTCAATCAATTTAGATTTTTACCAAATTCACTTTAAAACTAGTGAAACTCAACCCAAAACCTAGAACTCATGAAGACCTAAACCACTTTGATCTACAATTTTTACCATCCGATTAGCATGAACTCATTATATACAACTCGTTTCATCTTTCTCCACCTTCACACAGTTGGAATTTGGAAGAAAATGCTCCATCATCGAGAAATTAAAAAGAATCCAAAATTATGATTCTTTTCACAAAAACAACAATTATTTTGAAATTCTTCCATTATTTAAAAAATACAAATATCTAGTTATAATAATGTTCAATATTTAATGTTAGAGTGACCAAAATAGGATCAAATTAAAAATTCAATGAGAAAATTGGAAATTTATAAAATTTTAATGACTAAAATAAGAATATGGAAAAAGTTGAGTGTTGAAATTTAGAATTTATCCTAGGCGGGTTGAGTTGTGTCAGGTGGTATAATGTAAGATTGGGCTGGCAGCTTATGGATGAAGCATTAGGTGGAAAAAGTGGGCTTGATGTCATGGATGGACATATGATCTTATTAGGAGTGAATTTATAAAATTTTAAATAAAAATATACTCATAAAATTACAGAAGATAAAAATAAACTTTCAATAGAAATATAAAAATATATCTAAAATATATAAAATTTAAAATTTTCAGAAAGACGATTGTCCTCACCTATTCTCCTTTGATCCATCTATGCTAGTGAGAAATTAGGAAAAGTTGGGATTACATGCCTTTGATACTTATCGTTCGCGTATAATTTTGTCTAGGGTAAACTATACATTTAGTACTTAAGATATCAGTTTTGACCCGTTTTAGTATTTAAGCTTTTAATTTTTTTTTAAAACCATACCTAAAGCTTAGATTTTGTTTCATTTTAGTACCCAACTGTTAAGTTTTGAAAAAAATGAAAGTCTAGGTACCAAAACAAATTTAGTACCTAAATCATACTTAAGTTTTGAAATTGAAAATTTAGGTACTAAAACGGATCAAAACTGATAATTTAGGTACTAAACGCGTTAAATTTTTATGACGAGATATTAAAATGAAACAAAAAGTAAATTTTAGGCATGATTTTAAAAAAAATTGAAAGTATAAGTACTAAAACGAATCAAAACTAATAGTTTATGTACTAATGTGTAACTTACCCTTTTTATTCCGTCATTCTTTATACACACCCCAACCGTGAGTGTTGGGTAGAAATACTTTAAAACAAAAATAAAGAATCCACACACAAAAATCAATATATATATGTGAACATATAGTATTAATAGATTCCCATGTGGGCAAAATTCCCATATAGCATCATTCAGTACACCGGAGATTTAGAAGTTAGTGAAAATAAAAGTAGAACAACAAGATTCCACAAACACTCTGACCTAGATACCTTCACACACACACACACAAATAGCTTCTACACTTCTGCTAGCTATCTACCGGCTTATTTCTTCATGGTAATTATAAGGTTGATCAGGATGCAGTTTCCTGCAAAATGGTTCAAAAACATGACCTAATCAGAGCTAGATCAGATGAAAATTCTCAGAACTTTGATATTTATACCTTACAGCATTGGGCTGCCTGAGATGTTAGTAGTACAGTGAGCCTGCTCGACCAAAGAGAATAATTGATTAAAGAACTATTCCATCTTACATAGATACTTTTAGAAAAATGAAGAGTTTGAGTAATATAGATGTCGTTAATCCGATACCTTGCCACCAATTCCCTCTTGAAGCACCAGTGGAGTTGTTCCCATTTGGATCATCATCTTCCCCCTCCTTTTTGAACTGTGGAAAAAGAAGACAATGTCCTCTCAAATTTGGCATATAAAGTGGTATCAAGTAAGGAACATTGGTTGTGTGTCCAGGAATGGATTGAGAGAGTCTCAAAATTTTAAATTTTTATATAATTTAAACTTTTTTTTTATATTATTTTATTAATGATTTAGTTTTGCACTTCTTAACATAAAATTGTGTTCGTGTATGTGTGTTTTTACTATTATACTTACGTAGTGGGGTGCTCCTGTGGTTTTATTCCTTGGAGAATAATTTTCTTGGCCACCATAGTAGATAGATGAGCTGAGGTAGGTAGGCTCCACCGTTTCGTTATGATAAAAGGATGAGTTATTGTCTTTGTTAGTTGTGCCACTGCTTTGTCCCTTTCCATCTGTGGCATGATCCGAGACAAAAACATGTGCAATATTCACAATATGTTCTGAAAGAACCAGAAGAAAATAAACATTGGGAATTATCTAAAACAAGACTGCACCTGGATTTGCAAATTTTCCATGATGATTATCCCATGAACCCCCAATTCCGGAGTGATCGGAGTCCCTTCCTGGAACCTGGAAAAGAAAAGAAAGAAATAATATTATTACTCGTCACCGTTCAAAACAGAAAAGGTGAACCGTAATTGAATATCAATAAATATCCTAAATAGTAATTTTACCTTGGTAGGAGGTGGGAAAATGCTCCCAAGAATCGCACTTGTTGTAGATGAAGAAGAAGAAGGATCCTTGGGAGCAAGGAGATGATGCAAAGTTGAAGAAGAGCCAGTCGATTGGTTTTTGTTTTCCATATAAAAAGAAAAGGAGAAAACTTTAAAAAGAAGAGGGAATTGAAAGCTTTCTTTGTCAACCAACGAACAAAACTAATCTTCGAAAGATGTAATGAAAGAAAACGTTTCTCAGACAAAGAGACCAGACAGGAACATGGAGGTTGGCAGTGGATAAGATTGTTCTATCATAAAAAGAAAAAAAAAGAAAGAAAACAAAGGCGGAGAAGGCAGATGCAGATGGAAAAAGGTGAGAGCGAGAGAGGCTTATAGAGCACGTGAAGACTGCAGATGGGGGAAGATGGTGAACCGTCTATAGCTATTTATAAAGCCATCTAGGAAACATCGAACCCGGACATGCTGTAAGAGTTAAGATAGCATGAGTATATAATAAAAGACATAAAATATTTGTTGAATTGGTACGTTGTTGATGAAGATTTAAAATTATCTTGAATCAATTAGAAATATAATGTTAATTAAGATTTTATTCTAAGGTTTATTTTTTAGGGTAAACTACATCAGATATCATTAAACTTTAGATAGTGTATCATTTATACTATTGAACTTTTAATTACTTCAGTTATATCACTAAACTTTGGTTTTGGCTTTAATTGCATGTATCACTAGACCGTTAAAATCCAAACGACGAGATGACATGGACAAAACAATATCGTTTTGGTGAGTTTATTGATGCACAAAACGGTATCGTTTTAGACATTGAACTTTAGAGATGTATTGATTTTTCCACTAAAATTTTAAACATTTCACTTGTAGGCCCTACATTTTTTCGATTGTCGCTAACAGTGAAACACTGTCAGTCACTGGTCACCATTCACGATAAGATTGATATAAAAATATTCACATTTCACCCCTCTCTCTTCTTTTAGGATTTATTATATATGAAACCCACTAAAAATTGATGAAAATAAACAAAAAATTATAATTTTTAGGGCTTTGGGGGATTTCTCGGATTTGAGCACTTTAGGGTATTTGTTCAAAAATTAGAGGGGTGAGAAGCATTATTATAGAAGACGAATAACATAACTCAAAACTAGACTCATTAGACAACCATCAGAGGAGATCATAGTATTATCATGCTTAACCTTTATATGAATTTTCGTCGGTTTTGAATAGGTTTTGTGGAAAATCAATACAATGAGAAGAAATAGAAGTGAAATGCAAACATTTTGATAATGATATTGTCATGAATGGAGTCTGATGACGGGCGACGATTGGTTGCCAGTGATAATAAAAAAAACAGTGATTAAAACTAAACATTTTTTAAGTTTGATGACAAAATTGATACAATCATAAAGTTCAATGCATATAAATGATTTCGTTTTGAGTAACAATAATCCCAACAAAATGATACTATTTTCTCTAAATGGTCACGGTGACAAAAAAAATCTATCAATGTCATCATGCCATTAAAATTTAATGACTTAGTAGCATAATTGAAGCCAAAACCAAAGTTTAATGCTATAATTGAAGCAATTGAAAATTTAATGGTATAAATAATACATTGTCTAAAGTCTAATGGTATATAATATAGTTTACCCTTTTTTATTCAAACTCACATACCACATAGCATATTGATAATTTTATAGTTTAAAATTTTAAACCATCGAACTTAATTAACGAATGAACTCCTACTGATCCCTAGATCTCAATTACAATATTTTCCTAATTAAGTCCATTAAATAATATTATATCTAAATATTTTTATTTAAATAGTCTCATGTGATTATTTGATAATTTTTCAATTAAATCCATTCTTTTTATCTGAATATCTCATATAATTATAAGGTATTATATGTTCATAATATTTTTTTAGTTATTGACAACGCACATATACTCTATAAATATAATTGTTCGAACTTACTTTTAAAAAAAAAATATTTTCTTTAATTTTTGAGACAATTTAATGAGTTAGGTATATATCTTTCTTTGTATATTCATAATGTGAAAAAAATGGACAAATGCTAGTTGGGTCTCAAGTTGATGCGTGGAATATACCCTTTGTTATGTAACTAATGAACATTTGACTCCCTAGTCTTTTCAACATCATTTATTTATTTATTTATTTATTTATTTTTCGGGTTTAAGAAGAATCGGTAGGGTACCCTTATGCGATGCAATGAACATATTACAGCAATCCATCTATTTATATTCCCAACAAATATTTGAAGAATCAATGACCAAATATATGGTTTGAGGGGAAAATCTATAAACAAACAATTCCTTTTTAGATATCAACATTATGATGTTTAAATAAGATTAATGTTAAAATATGGCATCGTGAATAAAATAAATTAGATAAAAAAAATCACCTTATAGTAAATATTTGTTAGATTTTTTTCTAATATTATAATATTTGAATCACTAACATTATTTTTTTTTTCAATTTAGTCACAAAACTATTTTTTTTTAATAAAATCAACACTAATGTTATATTTTTTTCCTATTTGATCCTTAGTCATTAAAAAATAACTATTTGATCCTTAGTCATTAAAAAATAATGACGATGCTGATCTGATATTTTTCATGTTATTTTATATCTCATAATCAACAATCTACATGTCATTTTTAATAATTTTATTCATACTCATTAGGTGGCGACATATGTCCACACCCTCTTAGTCCGAACAAAACCAAAAGAAAATAAAAATAAATTGGTTGTTGTTGGGAGATGAAAGGGTCATTGGTTCGAATCTCATGAGACTCTTAACTATTTTACATTGAAATTTCATACCTTGTATATGTGGTGCTCGAACTCGGATCCTCAAGAGATAACAACAATAACTTAACTAGTAAGGTCACTTAGTTCATGCATGTGATATCTTATTTTTCTTTGGTTTTATTTGATACATTTACATATATATTTTTATGAAATTATAACAAATTCTAATTCTAGTTAACATTAGTGATGATTTTGTCAAAAATACAATTTGATGACCAAAATAAAAAAGAGATAATAGATGATGGTTAAGAGCATAATTTACTTAAATATAAAATAGTTGATATAGCTTAATAAATCTTTTATTTTTTTTACCAGTTGATTTAATTTATTAAAAAAAATTACAAGTCAAAAGAGATGAAAAATATGTACAAGTTAATATATATATATTTAAAATAATCAAGGATTAAAATATTATCAATCATTTTTAAAAGTAGAAAAAAGACCTGTGATAATTTTTAACTCCGTTATTGGAATTAAAAATTCTACCATATCAAATATTGTACACAAACCCAGTCAAATAAAATTGAAATTTCGGAATTTTCTTTGATTTGATCTGTCAATTAGGTTCCTTTTGGATAGAGAAGGATAAGTTCTGTAGAATGTGCAACTTTTAACTAACAAGTTAAAATATTTATCAAATGTTTTTTTATTCATTTTTGTAAAAAAAATCAAAACAAAAATATGAAAATATTATATAAATATAAAAAAACTTATATGAAACTATTAAAGATTAATTTTTCAAAATATAACTATAAAACAATAAAATATATAAATTTAATACGGATACAACAATCACTATACTCATCGTGCATGAACGAATATTTTACACGAAAATTCGAGTTTATTATTGAGTTTCGTCATCCATTTGGTCATCGTAAAATCCACATCAAAGGTGAAAAATTGTGTTGTTGAAGTCTATCATAAGATTCTTATTCCTAAATTAATGTATAGGGAGAACCCTTTAACATGTGAGAAGTACAATGAGATGTTTTCATTGATTTTGGGGCATAGATGGGGACTAGATAGGCTCAAACCATCCACAAAAATTAAGCAAATTGCTGAAAATTCAGAAAAATAGGTGGGAACATGATTAATCATTGCTTTTATTTTTGCTTGTTTTAGTTCTTTAGGGAAGAAGTTTGAGCTTTGTTCAAAGATGCTGTATGGATTAGTTAAGGCAAATATTCAAGTGCATGCATGATGTATGATACTTACTAAAGCATTACCATATATTTTGTTTTTAATAGTTTGATATAGTTATAATATAGCATCTGTTCAGAATTTTTTTAATTAATTGACAACACACACCTTATAGATGCAATTACTCTAATCTAGGACCTCTAAGGAGAACAATATTCCCTTTTATCACTAAGACCATTTGATGGATTCAAAGATTACCATATATTAGTTTAAATTCGATAAATATGATTGTATTGACGTGTTTGTCTCATTAGAGAAAGGTTATAAGTTACATAGTTTAAGGTTATAAATTATAGAGTTTAAGGGTTGAGTTAGAGTTTAGGGTTTAAGGTTATTTTAATATGTGACATTTAAATCGACATATATGTGGACTCTAAATTTTATATAGTTTGTATATCAAATAATTGTTTTTAAGGAATATGACCAACAAGACTAGGGGTGATATGTGTCGAGTTGAGCTGAGTTTTTGGTTTATCTGAACCTGTCCCAAGTATTATACTCCTTCACTTGTCACTCGACTATGATTTAAGGAGGATTCACGGACCCAAAAGTTAATATGATATATGGGATAAAAAAGTGCATCCTACATGACTTGATACAAATATATACATATATAATTCTTATTTTTATTCGATAAAATAAGGACCTAATTAGAAAAAAGAATAGAGAGGGATATTATTACAATTATCCCTAAATATATAAGGTAACTTATATTATTATCTCGATTTGGATGGGATAATTTCATCTTAAATCTGAATTCAATCTGACCTCACTCTTAAAAAAACCCGACCCAAATCTGATTTTTAAAAAAATCTAACCTTTTAGGTTCAGATCAAGTTAGAACCCATCAAGTATGAGTCTCATACGTATCCCTAAATGAGAGCTTAGTTTAATAGTAAGGTTGACCCTTGTGAATTTTAGGTTTCAAACTTGAGTTTCATCATATATGATGTAAATATATTATGTGTATTTGAATGTAGCTTTTTATTGTTTTAAATCTTACTATGTGTGATCCACGTTTAGATTTGTTCCGATCTAAATTTAATTATCAGTTTGATTATTCTTTTGGATTGTAACTCTATCGAAATAAATAGTTTTAAACCCCGACAAGGATTAATGTTGTTTAGGAATTCTAGATCATCAAAACCCTTCTAGATTCACAATGTCCATAGTTGTTGAGTCAAAGTATAAGTAATAAATGGTTGTGGTTAATTCCCAATTCAATTGGAATTAGTTTACCAATCCACACGAATTGTTCAAGGAATTCAAAACCTCACATTTAGGAATTTGATCCAATGGTCAAATTGCATACAAAGTGAACAAGAACATTCTTAGCTATTTAGAATCTATCACAATTTGTCATGCATGTATTTGCAACTAATTCTCTCATGGCCCTAACTTTTCATATTTTTCCACATATATGTCTATGATTCTCGCAAGCTTTTAGAAAGATGCCTCGAATTGAAAATTCTCTTTTACATCTGATTCAAATTAAAACTTAAATCGAACAACGAAAGAAGGAAAAGAGTGCAATAATCGTGAAAAGAATACAGTCCAATGAATCTATGGGCTATTTAGTAGGGTTGACAACCTATAAATGTGGTCAAATTTCATTTCAACCCTTCAAAGTTTTCTCAACTTCCATTTTAGCCCTTATAATTAATAGTTAAAGATATGATAATTTATGCTTCCCAAAAAAAATATAAAGTTCTTTCATTTGATATCCTGAATTTGTAATTTCTTATAATAAACTTTGTTACACTTTTATTCTATTTTTTTTAATTATAAATTTTTTGAAAACTCATTATTGAACCTTGTGCCAGATAACGTACATGGTAAGCTGAATTTATTTATTTTTATTATAATTTCTTTAAAATATTGAATAAAATATTAAAAATTTACTTTTTAAAACACCCATTGCTTTCCCGTTTCTCACTTCTCATCTTTTTTGTTTTTTGTTTTTTCATACACAACTTAGCTAATGTCAATTTTTTTATGTACTGTTATTTTTGATTTTGAATTATGTAATTTGTTTTCTTAATGAATATTATAATATTTGTTTTGGATCCTATTATTTTGTTTGTGGATCTGTCACCTGTAGGATGTGTGTATTGTCAATAGATAAAAAAATTATGAACATATACTATCTCGTAATAACCTTAGACTATTTCAAAAAAGTAAGTTCAAAATTTATGTTTAATTTTGTTGTAAGAGTAGTTCGAGTGTATTCAAGCATAATCATCTCAGGAACAGAGAGGGTATGATACACTTTTAATAATGTTAAAGATTGAGCTTTAGTTTTTAAACTCAAAAAGTAGACAAACTAAATTTCAAATATACAAAGAGTACAAAGACTTGAAACTTATTTAACCTAAACAATTATATGTATCTTGGTAGTCCAAGAGATAGTGGTGGGTTTTTTAGACTGATAACTGGTACTTCCATGGCAGACATTGAAGCTTTGGGCAAGAATAAGAAGCATCCCATGAACTTCTGCATTCACCTCCCTCACCATCACAACATTTGCACACAACTCCTAGGGAGGCCAATTTTGCATACCCTAATATCGATTTTGACAAATAACCATATCATTAATTTCAATTAGTTTGACACATACATGAACAAAGAACTCGAAATAAACTCGAAAAAAATTAAAAGATATACAGAAACACATTTGTTACTTACCTTGTCGATGAACGCGGCGACTGAGAACTCTACATTCGACGTGTTTGAAATTTGAAACTGTTAATATCACTGTGAGAAAGATGAATAACCCTAAGTGTTTGGCCATGTTTAGGAAGTTTGTGAAACAAAAATTTCTCAAAGTCTTTAGAGTTTTTTATTGTAGAAAAACAAGAATTGACATGATTTTAATAATTCACTAATCCATAGTAACGTGCTCGTAGGTTGAAAGTAAAATTATTACGCGACTTTGTCAAACTTGTTAATCGGGCCAAATCATTTTGATTGAAGAACTTGTGTCAAATGGCTCTTTTATTATTGGAACATATTAGAGTTTTATACATTATGATTTCACAAGTCATATTTAAATGATATCAAATCAATATCTATTGAGAAACTTTAGTGATAAAAAAGAATGTTATTCTCCTATAAGACCTGAATTCAAATAATTATGACTGATCGGTGTTTACACGAACCAATTGACTACTTTTTTTTGAATAAATATTATCTTATCACTCCATATTATTAAAAAATTAATATAAAATATTTTTTTAATTTTTTAATTTATCTAAAAATATATTTAATATCATCTAAATATTATTTATAAGATTATCTAAATTGACAGTGTATCAAATAATAATCCTTAATTAAATACATTTTTTATTGTTGGTATGAATTGAAAAGTGAAATGAAAAAAAGGGAGAGATCGTAGAACTTTGAACAAAACGATTAAAGAATATGCACCTTTTTCAGCACATTGTTTATTTTTAATTATTGGTATGAGTTGAAAATTGAAATTAAAAAAGTGACTTTTGAATTAATTAAACGATTTGAGAGATATTTTATGTACACACCTTTTTCAGCACATGGTTTATTTCAATCGGTTTATGTTGAAAAAACTATAGAAAATTACTTTTTGAGAAACTTTCTTCTCCATGTTAAAAGAAATCCAAAGACTTCTTTTAAGGGGTATAAGATGAAAACATGATAACTTTGGCCCTTACTCCAATCAAATATGACCCTTTTTCATTTAATTAATACTAAGGGTAAACTACTCAAATGACCACTAAATTATACGGTTGGTGTGATATGACCACCATACTTCTAATTTTGGCAATATGACCACATAACAATTTTAGTGGTTTAAATGTAGTCTCTTGTCGTTAAAAACATACAATTTAGCTTATGTGGACCTCTTACTCACCGTTAGTCAATAACAACCACATCAGCTATGCCTTCTGCTTTTTAACGACAAGTGGCTACATTGAATCTACTTAAATAGTTATGTCTCATATTGTCAAAATTGAAAGTATTGTGGTCATATTAACACTAAACTCATAGTTTAGTGGTCATTTGAGTAGTTTACCCTAAAACTAATGACGTTTAGTTCTTTTTTTTTGTTTTTTATTTTGGTCCTTTTAGTTAACTTTGATTTTAAATATTTTATGAAGAGTCAAATTTGACCCTCAAGGCTCAAACTCTAAAAACATTGAGTAATTATTTTTAAAACAAGCAAATCGTTAAATTTCTAACGTTGTTTACATAAAATTCCATGTGACAATTCATATATACTTTATGAGTATATGGGTTAATTTTTAAATTTTTTAAATATTATTTATTTATTAACATGACATATAAAACAAATAGTTTTATATTAACCTAAATTACATGTAGACTATCACAAGGATTGTCATCTCTGAAATTATTAAAAAATTAGGGTCAGATTTAGCTAAAAAACGAAGCAGGGTCAGTTTTATAAAGAGTGTAAACATTTACGGCTAAATTTACTCTTATACAAAAAAGTAATTAGATATAAACTTTGTAGGCTTGGAGTATATGGGCCAATATAGCCCATAACAAACAAGTTAACGTAATCCAATATAAGTCTACACATTACAACTGGATAGTTCGACCGGCCTGACTCAGTCTGGTCTTGGACAATAATATGTGTCTCGAGTGAACTTGGTTCATTCCGGTTCGCACTATTATTTATTATTTATAATATTGATGAACAGTAAATCTAAGATTATAATTAAAATCAGACCGAACATTAATTCGATTAATACTATTACCGTTACGACATTTAAAAGGTCAAATTTACATAAGCACATACATACATATACATATTCGAGTACTTTAACGGTTCAATAAAGTAGCTGCTTTGTACATATTCCAGTACTTTAACGGTTCAAGAAAGTAGCTTCTTTGTGGTGCTGTGTACTTTGTAAGAAGCCTGTAACGGTTCAGCTTTGGGCAAATTTAGACCGTTCCCTTCGGTCATATCAATTTCCTTCTCACTTACTCTTCTCCACTCAAAGCATTGAATCAATGACCCTAAAGCCAAGCCAGCTACACGCAGGCCTAAATCCATTCTGGGGCAAGCCCTCCTTCCCAAACCAAATGGCATCATCTTAGAGCCCTTGATCCGGCCGCTCTCGAACCTCTCCGGCTTAAAACTCGTCGCTTCATCCCACACGTTCCGGTCCCTCTGAATCGCCCATGCGTTCACTAGCAACATTGTATCCTTGGGGATGTCGTACCCTAATATGTTACAATGATCGGACGAGACATGAGGAATGAGGAGATGCGTCGCCGGGTTTAATCGGAGGGTTTTGGAGATTACGTTTAGTAAATGAAGTAGTTTTGGGAGGTCGGTTTCGTCTAGCAATCTGTCGTAACCGATGTGGATGTCTAGTTCGGATTTGCTCTTTTGTAATGCGTTTGGATTGTTGAGTAACAGAGACATGGACCATTCCAATGTTATAACAACCGTGTTGGTTCCTGGAATTAACATGTCCTGCATCAAAATTAAGAGGGAAAGCATTAATTATTAGATTAATTAGTAAGATAAGTGTAACCCCCCAGACCGATGCGGGTAGCCCGATCCGATCCGAGAAGTCACATTAGGGCCACCGAAGCGACCCATTGTAAAAATAGCGGAAAATTTAAATCTTTTTATCAGAACATGTAAACTTATAAAATCATTTGTCACTATTTAAAAATAAAACATATTACCAGACTCGTATATTAATCAAAATACAATTACATGCCCCCTAATCACATGTACCATACTCTGCAACAACGCCGGAAGAACTCCCTTACTGAAGTCGATAGATGCACTGGTACAATTCTTTTAACCTGAAAAGGTGAGTAATAGAGTGAGCTTCGAAAAGCTCAGTAATACAGAACTACCAGATGATGCTGAAAAACGTGCAGATACAAATAAACATATTTTCCTTATTGGTTCAGATATTTACAGATCTTTATGTTGAGCTGAGGTCCATTGATATCGTATGTAGTAACAAATAGTATTCATTTCAGATGGAAATATTTCGGATGTCTAGGTTCAGGAGATCAGAACAGGTTTTCTAGTGTGTTCCCAAAAATCATGTAACTTTTCAGATCTTTTTTTTAAAAACATATATATATATATATATATACCCCCATCCAACAAGTCCAAGTTGTGTAGGTTCCCCAGAACCATACACCCACCATCAAGTCCAGTTGGCCCTGAGCACACAGCCGAGGAACCGGTAAATAAGGCCCTGAGCACACAGCCGAGGAGCCTCCAGGTATACTTCCTCCAATATTACCCCCCCAAGTAAGATATGTCCGTCCGTAAACGGATATATCAAAAATCAAAACATAAATCAGGTCAAGTATCATATAAGAAATCAGGTCAAGTAACAGATCAGAATCCAAGTCAAGTATCAGATCAGAATCCATGTCAGATATCAGATCAGAATCCATGTCAAGTATCAGATCAGAAATCAAATCGAAAATCAGGTAAATATTCATGTGAGTAGGGAACACACCAGAATTTACAGATAGTATTCAAAGATATTGGATAATCTTAACAAGTAGGGGAACACGGATCTTTAGTATACCGATAGAATATCGGAATTCAGAATCACTATTGAAAGAGTTCAATAACTGACAGAATTATCAGTTATTCAGAAAGTGACTTGAGCTGATAAGGAAGAAATGAAGGTTCAGGACATTTATATTATCTATCGATTGATCGAATTATCGGACAACTCTTAGATGAATAGTTTCCAGAACTAATGCCCGTCGATTGGTCAATTCATTGTTCTTCCAGGGTATTTACTCTTTAATACCACAATTCTTATCCATAGACCATTTTCGGAATCATCGTTGAATAGATCTTCCAATGTCTTTATTTCATTTCCACACTTCTACAATATCATGAAATGCTGACGTACTTGATTAATTTGTTCAAACTCATTGTAATTGTACACTACGTAAACTCCTCAGAGTTTCCAGACTTATCCAAGTCACTTACTAAATCCTCAGTCATTGAAGTTACCTATTTCATTTAGCAGTCATCTCTATTCCAGTTACTTCAGGATTTTCCAGAGTAATTCAAACGTTCCTGAATTTCAGATACATGTTGTACTTCCATTCCATTCAATTTGGTCTTCATGGTTGATTGTCGAACAAACGTTCAATTCTTAGTACTGAATACAATCTAGAGCTGAGTTGAATACTTCCAAAATTTATCATCGAGCCAAACTTGAGAAGACGAACACATGTTCTAGAAATATCTATGTCATTCAGGTATTGACATAGCTTTAAGGTTGATCTATTCACTTAAATTGTTTTCCATTACCTTTAAAGGTAGTCCAATACTTATGCTTACTTGGATTCCTGAATTAATCCAAGACATTTACTTAATTTAGGCCAAAAGGGTATTTTGGTAATCTTGATGTCCAGTTTTATTCTATTCATTTCAGAGCTCGAGGATATCCAATCATTCCTGAGCTTGGTGATATTCTTGGGTCATTTCCATTACAGGGGTATTTTGGTCATTTTACAGATCTACGGTATTTCAATCTTTTCCTTCCATCCGGTCTTATTATTTAATTCAATCTTATCATTTACTTTAGTCCTTTCGAATAATTCTGACAGTAGAATACCCCCTATAAATTATTCTTCAAGTATTTGCTCATTATTCGGATATTTTCGAGTCAAGTGTCTTCTCATATTTTACAAACGGAAATCATGAATTTTCTATACAAAGTCATGATCTTAACAATTAAATCTGTACTTAATCGAGTTAAGTACGAATCCCCTAAGTATTTTCTCATTCAGAGTCAACTTAGACTATTCTATCTCTTAAGGGCATTTCCGTAATTTCTTAACCAGATAATTTCGATATTAGCTCTTAACGAAAATAATTATAATTTAGAGATCCTATGATTAATTGATTTCGTGAACACTCTCTGATCTTGAAATGATTTCCTTAACAGACTTCTAATATCCTTCACAAACCCTCATAAGACTAAAAACCGGTTATCCGCATTTCCTAATCAAAACTAGCATTTCTTATGCACATCAATAGTTTTTACCAGATCAATATGTCTTTTCAGAGTTATTAACCAACTTCCAGGGATAATTCTTATCATCTTACAACATAAGGGTATTTTCGTAATTTTACCCTACCAGATTATTCTCACAATTTCTCATCCAAGTACTTTTTAACATTTAACCTTTGATGAAATAAATTATAAATTGCAGATACAGGGCTGATTTCTTTATCACTAATCACAAACTTGTAATTTAATCTAACAATTCCTCAATCTCTTATATTAGTCATTCAATCCGTAATCAGTTACAGAATTTCTACCACATCATATCGAGTGTATAAATTATTCAACTCCACCAAAGTGTCCAACATTATCTTGTTCATGCATTTATCAATATAAACATGTTCCATAAGCATAAAGAGGTAGTAAAGTATTACCTCGATTTCTGTGCAATACTGATCGACCATAAAAATTCCATTCGAATGCCTTTGATCCTCAATTCAGCTTCCAATAATTCCTCAGATACATATCAACATAAATTATATCATAAACGAATCTTAATTACGATAAACGGATCGAATCGGGTGATAAATTAGTGAAAGACGGCTTACCGGGTTCGAATTTGGCAAAACGGACTTCGGATTCGGATTCAGGACGTCGAAAGCATAAAATATGACTTTTTGGAAATTTGGAATTTTCGGTCAAAATCAAAGTCAACGGGTTTGACTAACAATTTCGAGGCCTTCGGCTTCGAATTTTGAAAAACGGACAGCGGAATCGGATTTGGAACGTCGAAAAATGTCAGGATAGGTATACTCGGTCGAAGTCAAAGGTCGTTTAATGCCCGATCAAAGCCGGTCAAAGTTTTGGTCAACAGTGGTCAACTCCGGTCAACGGTCAACGGGTCGGGTGGGGTCAACGGGTCGGGTAAATGGGTCCGGTCGGGTCAACGGGTCGGGTCGGGTTATGACCGGTCAAACCGGTCAAAACAGTTCCAAAACCGGTCAAACCGGTCACTTTTCCCTTACCCACGCGCAGTGTCGGCGCGTGGGGGCGCGTGAACAGTGATAAAATCCCGGAAAAATTTCTAAAAATTATTTTGAGCGATTTTGAGATACTTACAAAGCTCGGTTCACAATTTTAAACGGCGGAGAGCTCGATTTCAACAAATTGGGAAGTTTGACCGATTCACCTCCCAACGCGCCGCCGCCTCCGGAGAAAAAGGAGAACACCGGTGGACTCGGAACGGCACAAGGAACACGATGGTGCGGGAGGTGTCATAAACGGATGACCCGATCGTCGTGAATCGATGAAAAACCAACTAAAACCGAGTTATTACCGACGATACTTCCGACTGAAATTCACGACGAACGGCGATGATTCACGACGAAAGGTTTGAGGGGTTTTGTTCCTCGGTTGACAACGAACACGATGGTTGTTTCGGCTTGTCGTTTGGAGGTCAGACGGCGAGTAGATCGGAGTTGGAAGTAGGGAGAACAGGAGAGGAAAACTGGAAAATTTTCCAGAAACATACGAGAGTCTGGAGGGTTTATAACATCTCATAATTAAAAATGGCTAAACCAAGAGTTTAGCCACTGAACTTCCTGCACTTCTTAAAACGGTCTGTCAACTTTGAAATATTACAATTTAATCTCTTATTTCTTTCAAAATACCAAATTAAATCCACCAATTTATATTTTCTTAAATTTAGCCCCTAAATTGGGGTGTTACATAAGTTACACCACACATCAATAAACTTTAATTTTTATCGAATTTGTTACTCAACTATACATTTATATGATTGTAGTACAAAATTTTAGATTTGCAGGTAATTATATCATTGGACCGTTAAGGGGTAAACAACGTGTTGACCAAACGATGATGTGGCCAAACGATGTCGATTTAGTGTGAGTATCTTGATGTTCAAAATGACACCGGTTATAGGACTATATAAATCATTTAATTTGTCTATCGATTTTGCCATTAAACTTCAAAATATTTTAAATTTAGGTTCTAAACTTTTCAATTGTCATTGGTAACCAATCGTCGCTTGTCATCAGTCATCATTCACGACAAGATTAATATCAAAAGGCTCATATTTTACTCTTCCTTCTCATTGGATTGACTTTTCACGAAACCTACTAAAAAATCGAGGGAAATTCATCTAAATATCCAATATACTAATACTCAAATCACCTCTAATAGTCGTCTAATAAGACAAATTTTAGATGATTTCAGAAATTATTCAAATCACCTCTAGATCAGTTAAAGTACTCGAATATGTATATGTATGTATGTGCGTATGTAAATTTGACCTTTCAAATCACCTCTAAATATCCAATATACTAATACGCTCATACATACATATACATATTCGAGTACTCAAATCACCTCTAAGTATCCAATATACTAATACGCTCATATTTTTCATCTTCTTGAGATAATGCTTCTCACCATTCATATTTTTGGACAAACATCTCCCTCGAATTCGAGAAAGCCACCAAACCCCCTAAAATTGTGATTTATTTATTTGTTTAATTTCATGAGTTTTAGAGAGGTATTGAAAAAATTTAAAACGAAAAAATAGTAGAAGATCAAGAGATGAGATCATTAGTGTGCAGGGAGACCACATAAGACATTATAGAGTAACAGTTTAAATGAGTGAAAAATCTTAATTTTGATGATGTAAAATTATTTGCACCATCAATGGGTAAGGGTCCAACTATATAATTGCATATAAAACTAAAATATAATGTTACAATCGTATCAATTTATAATTAATTGACAAATTCGTAGTTTACTCTATTAATAAAATGCGTTGAATAATAGAGTTTGTGGTAACCTGGACGATTCCTTTGATAATTTGATCAGTATAATACTGCGCTTGAGATTCTTGCAAACAAAGCAGATGGCCGATCATAGTATCCTCCTCTTTAACACATTTATTCCTCCGATGCTCATCGATTAAACCCTGCAACAATCCATCGATTTCTCTCGCTAATTTCACCACTTTCTTCTTGTACCCTTTGAAATCAGTCCACTGCAAAGAAATCTCCTATAACTGGTGAAATCCCCAGTTTTAGAAGCTCATGTATGAGATTATGAAGCTTCATTGGTTCAGGTTTCCGACGAGCTTTGTCACCGTCGTATTGCTTGCCTGCAATCCTTCTCATGATTATGTTGAATGCCAGCTTTGACAGCATCGGTTTCAACTCTACCTCTGCGAAACCGTCTGGCTCGAAGAAAAATACAATCCTCGCAAGAACTCCTTGATTTCGTCGCTTCGGATACTCAAAGACGAGTTCAAGCGATCGACAGAGAACATTTCGAGTTTGCATATACGTCTTAGGTTTTGCCAATGGTCACCGTAGGGAGACGAGCCGACGGTGGTGTACTCGTATCCAATATACTTGCCGACCCAAGAGTAAGGACGATTGGCGAAAATGATATCGTTTTTGGTGAAGCATTATTTGAGCGGCGTTGACCGGCCATTAAACGACCGTTGACTTTTTTCGGGTATATCTATTCTGACGTTTTTCGACGTCCTAAATCTGTTTTTGGGTACGTTTCACCAAATTCGATCCCGAAAGCCTCCAAATCGTCAGTCAAACCCGTTGACTTTGACTTTGACCAAAAGTTCAAATTTTTGAAAAATCATATTTTATGTTTTTTTACGTCTTGATTCCGATTCCGCAACCCGTTTGGTCAAATTCAGACTCGAAAGCCTCCAAATTGATAGTCAAACCCGAAAAATGCATATGTGCTTAAGAGTTTTAGCTTTGAATGATTAAGTAAGATTTGAGACTGATAAATTATTATTGTTTGAAGGTACAAGAGACTCTCCTGATCGCTCGACAGCTTAACCCAACTCCTCTAGATCAGTTAAACGGCGTGCGCCAGTATTCACCCGTATGACCCGTAAATCTTATGATTTGAGAAATTAATTATGTTACCCACTAGTAATGTAGTGTTATTATGAATTAGGTTTGAAAACTGTAACAGAGCGTGGCGAGGCCAGTACTCAGTAGATGACCCTATTATCAAGGTGTGTTCCCTATGTACTATTCAATTATTTTATCTGTTTTGAAATATGGTACACTGAGAGCTATGTTTTACTGTTTATTGATACACCGACTTACTGGTGATGATTTATGGACAATGATTGATATATGATTATTAGTTTTCACTTATATATGATAACAGTGATTACGGATTTATGAAAATTATGTTGCATAAATTGCATTTTTGAAATACTGATTTTGGGTTGGATTGAATTACGGAGGTATAGCTCTGATCAAGCTGGTAAACCTTACGGACCTAATGTGACTCTTGGGTAGGCTCATAGGCCTCAAGACGCTCCATTAGGTTGGCTCCCTTTGTTGTGTGCTTAGGGTAAGCCCTACGGACCTAAGGATACATGCCCCAAAAGCCTATCCTTAGGTTGACTTCCTTTTTGCTATGTGCTTAAGGTAGCCCTACAGACGCAGTTCTGAGGAACTACGATTGGTGTACAGGAGAAGAGTTTTAAACTACGAGTTTCAAAAGTTAAACTTTATTATGATTTTATGATGATTTTCTGAACTATTACTTGTTTATTGTACCTACTATGATTTTATTATACTATTGGGACACAATGAGCCTAGCTCACTTTTCAAAATATTTTTTCCCTTTCTGATACATTTGGTTAGATACCCAGAGCAAGCACTTAGAGGATCATCACATATTGCATAGATCAACTGAATGTAATGATTTTATCATGCAAGTTGACTTTATTATCGAAACATGACCTTTATTTTAAAGTATTGAATTTTTATAATGATTACTCTTTTGCTACTGATATTTGGTTTATCGTGATTTGGATTTTATGACATGTTTTAAATTAATTTATTACTTTTTAGTTTTATATTCATGAGTGGGTTTTTATTGCTAAAATTATCATAATTTCATAAATGTCTTTTATAACATGATTTTAATTTATCGAATAATGTCTTTAAGAATCATGAATGTGATCCGTTAGACTTAGTCGAAACGCATAGACTGGATTTAGGGGTTACAAAACTCCTTTTGGATCTGATTTCCTCTTCTCTAGAGATGATCCGAATAAGCTTTCCAGTTGCTTTCCAGTACCGATCACAGGCACTTCGAACAGGCCTAGAGCCTTTCGGGTATTTACGATCTCTAGGTGTGAAAAAATACCATTCCCCATTTGACAAAGCATTATCATACATACCTGACAACATGAAAAAAAAATTAAAAAACATTATTGGCAAGTCTACAGGATTCTAAATCAGCGCATCCACATTTAAAAAAAGGGTAAACTACATGGGAGACCACTAAACTATGATTAAAAATCAATTTGACCATTGAAGTTTCAATTGAATCAATCAGACCACCCAACTATTTAAATAGTTCAATCAAGCTACCAGCCGTTAATTTTTAACAGATGTGGTGACGTGTCCGTTAATAAAAAATGGCATAATTAGACATTTGGTCCTTAATATTTATAAATCCTATCAATTTTGATATAAATTATTTTAATTAAAATAAATTTAACCTCCAATTAAATGGTGAGACATGTCATTACCTAGTTGGAGCATATTTTCTTAATTTTTTATTTATGTAATAAATTTATTTTTCTACTGACACATGTCATTACCTAGTTGGATATAAATTATATTTAATAAATAAAAGTCAATAATTATTTATTCGATTAAAATTTTAAAATATAAAAAACTGTAAATTATAATTATTTATTCGATTAAAAAATTCTTAATTTTATTAATTCACAATTTTTTTATATTTTAAAATTTTAATCGAATAAATAATTATTGACTTTTATTTATTATTTATAATTTATAATTTTTTATATTTTAAATTTTAAAATTTTTAATCGAATAAATAATTATTGATTTTATTTATTAAATATAATTTAATAGCTATATACAATATTAAATTATAATTAATAAAAAAAATTAAAGATTATTTTTTTATATGAGTGAATAGAAATGAGTAGCAACATTTTTTATATAGGCATGAGTTAGGATGTCACGGGATTAAAGTTTCACTAGTCGATTTTTGCGATTTTAGACGATGAAGCTTGAGTTAATCGCCTAAGCGGTATTTAAGGGTTAATAATACCAATATCTCATATAATTTGATAAATTCTTCAAAGTCATATTTTAATCTTCTAAATGTTAAATATGTTTCTTCTATTTTGTTTTTGTTTTCTATTATGTCTTATGAGACTAATGTGGATAATGAATGACATTAATAAGACATGTGAACCAATCATATATTATCACGTGACATTTTAGGTGAAAGAAAAATCAAAGAGTTTTAAAATAATTACATATAGAGTTTAGCTTCTTAGTCAACTAAGATTGGATTAATATGGCTTCAGAACTTTTTTAACTAATGATAACATACACATCTTGTAAACGTAGTTATTTAAGCTCAAATTCTTTAAGAAGAATAACGTTTTTTTTTCTTATCACTGAAACAATCAATGAGTTCGACACTAATATTCATCTAAAATAATTAAAATAGATTTACGTGACAGCGTAGAAAACTGCGAGAAAAGTGTCATGTGAGATCATAGAAAAATAATGTCATTCTTCTTGGACAGCAAATGCAACAACTGGACTTCTCACTTGATGCACCCCATCATCCCAAATCAAAGAACCAGAAGCCATCATGTTCGTACTGTTGTTGTCAATTTTAGCTTTGACTTTCACAACAAATGATTTCATCTCCCCGATGGCCTTGAATCCGAGCACGTTTGGTTCGACACCGATTTCGAGTCCTGAAGGAGCGTTCACCATTGTCTTATAAGCCGAAACACCCGATCCAACATTAGTTACTGTTCTATGGAAGACTCGAATGGTAGATTTCCCAGGGACAACAGATAAAGCAAACGATGGATAATTGAGATCCCATGCAGTCCCATTAATGGCTTTGGAACATCTGCTTCCATCTCCGGTAACGAGTCTAAGAGTAGTAGTGTTGTATCCTTGTCCGCATAAAAATTTAACATAATCGATCTCTCCAGCATCGTAAACCAACCCGGGATCAAGTGCCGATGAAGGAATCATATGGCCGGATCCGAATGCGAACTCGGCGTCGGTGTTGGTCTCGAGACTTAATGGAACAGCTGAAGTAACATAGACCGAAATCAGGTTAAAACAGTTTTCCGTTGAGTTTTCTGAATTTGTTTTCAAGACAATACCTGTTGTCATTAGGGCAGATTTAATAGCAGCAGGCGACCACGTCGGATTAAATGATTTGACGTAGGCCGCCGCAGCGGTTGCATGAGGGCAAGACATTGATGTACCGGAGATTATGTTGTATGGAACTACTCTGTTGTCACCTTTTAAACCGGTTACGGTTGTTCCTTGAGACCAGGCCGCCAAGATGTCGACTCCAGGTGCGGTTAAATCCGGCTGCAGGTGCATACATTAACGATTTCCGAAGTCCGGTGTAAGAAAAAACAGATTATACATCGAAAACAATGCGAGAAATTCATCTAATTTACCTTGAGAATGTCGTATGTAATAGGATTAGGCCCTCTTGATGAAAATGAAATAACATACGGTGCTTGTTCATCCCTTTCTTGAATACTCTTGAATATTGTTGCAGTTGGTTTTCTATCATAACATGGCAAGAAAGTTTAATCATACATAAACAGTTTCTCTATTTTTCTATTTTTCTTCTCCGAGAACGAACCTTGTCGAGTTCAAGTAGGTCAAGACTTCAGTTCTGTTATCGGGCCCCAAGCACGAAACAGGCAACGGAAAATTGTAGGCGGTATCTAAGTAACCCTCCATTATAGCACCAATAGCCCCTGCAGATATTGCACCTTCACCATTATTTACTTCATCACAAAGAACAACTTTTCCAGCTACCAAGGCCTTATCCAACGAGTCTTCCCAGCAATACCTGCATTTGAAGTAACATTTCGAGTATAAACATTCGTAAATAAATCCGAAATTGATTTCTTTTCGATACCAGATGCAGCTTCAAGATTCGTAAGAGTAAAATCTATGTTACCTGGATTCGGAGCTATCATATCCGTCTTTAATATTTGGGGCTGCTCCACCATATATGAGAGGGAACATCTTATCTTTGAGCTCAATTGTATTTATAGATATTCCCTAAAGTACATATACATATACATATACATATACATATACATATACATATACATATAATTAGCACCATATGGTAAATCATGGAGTTAATACATGAAAATTGAGCTTTCTCACCTTATAAATTTCACCATTACCCAACATCACCTCAGTGACAAATTTTCTATTAATGGTACTTGCAGCCACCGAGAGAGACCAAGGTGAAACGTTTGTGACGGTTGCAAGATCAGGGCCTGAATTGCCAGCAGAATTTGATGTGAGGATTCCGTTTTTCATTGAATGGAAAGCTCCGATGGCAATGACATCATTGAAATAATCCACGGCAAAAGACCCTCCGACGGAAAGCGAGATTATGTCGACTCCATCAGCGATTGCATCATCAAATGCTGCAAGAATATCTGCATCAGGGCAACCATCCGACCAACATATCTTGTAGACTGCGATTCGAGCCGAGGGAACCCCTCCTCGAGCTGTCCCTAATGCAAGACCAGATAAGCTTGCCTTGGAGACTAAGGCACCGGATGCTATTGACGATGTATGTGATCCATGGCCTTCCGAGTCTCTAGGTGATCGGATATCCGTCGGAATGAAAGATTTATCCGCCCTATAGTAACGGCCTCCGATGATTTTACTGAGAAAAAATGGGAAAAATTTAGTCAAAATAAATCTGGATTTCCATTTTTCGGGGGATTCTAGTGAATTATATTTACTTGTTGCAAGTGAAATTTGATGATTCTTGGCAAGTTCCTTTCCATTTCTTCGGAGGTGGACCAAATCCTTCGTCATTGAAGCTTTCGGATTCCGGCCAAATTCCGGTGTCTAACATTCCAATGATTATATCGCTTTCATGTCTTGTTCTTCTAACATGTCGGGAAAAACCCATGAAATCCCATGATCTTGTCGTGTGAAGCTGCTTCTTTTGACTAGGGAACACCGAGACAACCCCTTTTATTTCTGGAAAAAAAAATCCCCATTGTTAATCTTAGGCCTATTTTTCAGTTGAACAATCTAGTAAACATACTGGCTAATTTTTTAGCATCATCCTCGGTCAACTTGGCAACAAATCCATTAAAGCTCCTACGATAGCTATGGAGCAAAGAGCTTGATCCACCACTGTTGAAAAATGCAATGCATTAGAGTGTGATATATATATATATATATATATATATATATATATGTATGTATATGTATATATAACCTGCCAAGAACTTGTTCTAGGATGTTAGTGTGAAGTTTTTCTGCAGAGAATTCCCCATTGGGAATATCACCCATATAGACAATATAAACCTGCAAAAGCTTCGACAAAAAAGTTAAACATGTTGTGAAATCAAACACTTACGAATTCAGAAAGGTCAAAGAACTTAGTATTTTGCCTTTCGATCGTCGAAAGATGCTGCCTGGGATGTAACGAGCGTGCAAAAGGTGAAGATGAAAAGGAAAAAGCTTGTCAAAGGAGATAACGACTGGATTGCCATTGGAACAGGCTATTGCTTGAGAGTTGAGATCGATTGCACTTGATTTCTGTAAATTTACTAACTTCAAGCTTTATATGTATAGTATTGGATTTGAGAACTCTCAAACAGTCAAGTATAGGTAAGTCCGCCGCAAGGTGTTTAAATATTGAGACTGTCGAAAGACGGTGTTTTTACAATGTTCTTGTTCCAAAGCTTTGGTTTTCTCAGCTTTTACACGCACATGTAGGGGTGTAAATTAACATAGTATCAATGAATTGTTCGTATAATGTTCGTTTATTAAATTAAATAAATTAGTATGAATAAAATTATTATGTTCATTTAATAATTGAACGAACAAAAACAAATGTATGTTCGATTTGTTTATTTATCTACAAACAAAGGTATGTAGAGATTAAATTAAACATATAGTGAATTTTGGAGTTTGAAGTGTGAAGTATGAGGAATTTAAGGACTAGTGACGTAATTTCACCAAATAAACGAACATGTTCATAAAGATTATACGAAAATATTTGCAAAAGTTTACCGAAAAATGTTCATGAACGTTAAATGAAAATATATACGAACATTAAACGAACTGAAAATGTATACCTTTAAATATAACAAAGACAAACACGATATTAAAAATTTAAATGAACATGAATAAAACATAAAAATCTTAAGAAACAAACAAACAAACACGAATATAATCTTATTGTTCAAGTCCTACTCATTTATACCCACCTGCATATGACTTTTTAGTAAAATAATATCATTTTAGTAATGCAAAATGCAATCTTTATTCATTATTGAGGAGAACATTCAAACTTCCCAATGGATTGTTATTCAAACACCAACATGTCGGAAAACTAAAACCATGGTTTAAAAGGCAACAATGGGACTCCTTGCTTCATGCACACCATCATCCCAAATCAAAGAACCGGAGACTATATTTGGAAGTAAAACCTTAGCTGCAACCCTAACGACAAATGATTTCTTTTCTCCAACCGACTTGAACGAAAGAACATTCGGTTTGACTTTGATATCGAGTTCTTTCGGAGCCTTTACGATGGCTTTATAGGTCGACACCGGCGATCCGAAGTTGGTCACGGTCCTTTGAAAATCACGACTGAAGTATATGTCTCCTGCTCCGGAAACAACTAATGTGAATGAAGGGTAGTTTAAATCCCATGCACTTCCGTTTGTTGCTTTGGTACAACCGGTTTTATCTCCTGTAACTAGCCGAAGTTGTTTCGTACTATACCCTTGTCCACACAAAAATTTAACGTAATCGATCTCCCCGGCATCGTAGACTAATCCCGGATTGATGGCTAATGAAGGGATTATATCACCGGATCCGTATGCGAATTCGCGATCAGTATTGGTCTTTGAACTCATTGGCCGTGCTTCAGCAATAAAAAAAATAAAATAAAAATAAAGGAACAGGGACAACCATGATAGTTAGTAACAATATATGTAAAGCACAACAGATATAGAATTAGTACCTGTTGTCATCAGGGCAGATTTAATAGAAGAAGCGGACCATGTCGGATGAAACGATTTGACGTAAGCTGCGACAGCAGTTGCATGGGGGCAAGACATCGACGTGCCAGAGATTATATTACTACTCTTTTATCAGCTTCGATTCTTGTCACGGTTGTAGCCTCTGACCATGCTGCTAAAATGTCCACTCCTGGTGCTACTATATCCGGCTGCAGTTTATAATCAAATGTCACAACTTTGACTGATCAAAGGGATTGATTTTAGAGAATTAATCCTTTTATACCTTGAGGATGTCAAATGAAAGAATATTGGGTCCTCTCGACGAAAACGAAACTACATACGGAGCGAGTTTGTCATTCTCCTCGGTACTTCGAAGTATCGTTGCAGTCGGTTTCCTACAGGGTTAAATGCGATCAAATCAGTGAAATTTAACCGAAAAATTATGATATTGATCATAAAACTATAGTGAAGATATTTCGTCGTATTGATGTAGTGCCAAATGTCGCTTCCTTCCGTTAATTCGAGAGCAGAAGTAGGCAAGGGGAAAGTGTTGGCGAAATCTTTGAACCCGTCATCTCGAACTACAACACCAACAGCTCCTGCAAGTAATGGCCCATCCAGGTAATACAGGTAATCACAGAGAACAAATTTTCCCTTTACCAAGGTCTCATCCAAGGTGTATGGCAAGCAACTCCTGCATGAAATTTACAATGAAGTTCCCTTTATTTTACTGATTTTACCGGAGAATCACAATTAGCGTTACCTCGAATCGGATCCGTTATATTTCGGGACGTCGCCGCTCCATACGATGGGATAAAAATTCCCTTTAAGATCGAACGTATTTACTGAAGTTCCCTATAGAATGAGAAGGTAATTTTATCAGTGTCTGTATTGTTGCGGAAGACGGCTATCGGATAGAGAAAAAATGCAACTGATAATTTGAGAAAATAAAAATTGAAGATAAAAGAGACACAAAATTTACGTGGAAAACCCCTAAATAATATAGGGTAAAAGCCACGGGCAACGGTAGAAGAATTTCACTATGAGAAAATAGGAATTACAACTTCTCTCTATCTACCAAGGAGAAAACAATGATAATTCTCTCTTGATAAAAAGGAGAAAACAACTCACAAGAAACTCTCTAAATTCTCTAGTATTGGAAGAAAACTAGAATGCTTTGGGATGATTTTGAAGCTAAATGAGCTAGGGTATTTATAGTTAAAACTTAAGGACTAATTTGTAAATACCCTAAATTACAATGACTAAAAATGATTTTACCATTTCCAAAAAATTCAACAAATGCCATGTGCCATTAATTGTGCCCACTTTCGGTGCATTGTTTAATCCACCTTTCGGTGGATTTGTTTAGTTTTCAACAATCTCCCACTTGAAGATTTGATTGGAACAATCATATCTTCACACCATTCTTTCTACCTTGTACCATAATGTTGCTTACATCTCTAACAGGCCACAAGAGGATCGACACCAAGTAAATTTATCAGCGTTGATCGCCTTCGTCATGAAATCTTCTATGTTGTCATTGGTATGGATCTTCTGCATATCTGCCGTTTCTTCTTCCACCTTTTCACGAATGAAATGGTATTGAACTCGTATGTGCTTTGTCCTTGAATGAAATGCTAGATTCCTTGCTAAATGCAAGGCGCTTTGACTGTCACAAAATAGAGAGACATACTCTTGATTGTGCCCAAGCTCCTCCAATAGCATCTTCAACCAAATTGCTTCTTTACTGGCTTGTGTAGTTGCTACATATTCTGCTTCTGTTGTGGATGTAGCCACAACTGACTGCAATTTTGAAACCCAGCTTACAGCTCCACCAGCAACTTTGAACATATATCCTGTAGTAGATTTGGTTTTATCCAAATCTCCTGCATAGTCAGAATCTACATACCCATTGATTAGTAAGTTTGATCATCCGTAACATAATGCAACATTTGAGGTCCCTTTGATGTATCTCATGATCCTCTTTACTGTATTCCAATGCTCTTTGCCTGGATTCACCATGTATCGACTAACCACTCCCACTGCTTGTGCAATGTCTGGTCTTGTGCATATCATAGCGAACATTAAACTTCCCACTGCTGATGCATACGGTACTCGAGACATCTCCATCATCTCTTCTTCACTACTAGGACTCATACGGGAGGATAATTTGAAGTTAATATGAAGAGGGGTAGAAATTGGCTTACAATCTTGCATGTTGAATCGTGACAAGATCTTCTTCAAGTAATTCTTTTGTGAAAGCTAAATCTTCATATTACTTTTGTCTCGGTGAATTTGCATCCCTAGAATCTTGTTTGCTGATCCCAAGTCCTCCATTTCAAATTCCCTAGCCAATTGTGCCTTCAATTCTTCAATATGATCTTTGTTGGGTCCTGCAACCAACATGTCATCCACATACAACAGCAATATAACAAAATCGTTATCACCAGACCTCTTGAAATAAGCACAAGGGTCTGCATTAAGTCTGTTGTATCCAATGCACATAATGAAGGAATCAAATCTCTTATACCAACACCTCGGCGCCTGCTTTAGACCATACAGAGATTTGTTCAACCTGCAAACCAAGTTCTTATTTTCTTCTTCTTCAAAACCTTCAGGCTGAAGCATGTAAATCTCTTCTTCAAGATTTCCATGAAGAAAAGTTGTTTTAACATCTAGCTTCTCGAGATGTAAATTCAATGTAGCACACATTGCCAAGACTACTCGAACTATTGTTAGTCGAACCATAGGAGAAAAAAGTTCATTAAAATCAATACCTTCTTTTTGAGCATATCCTTTGACCACCAGTCTTGCACGATACCTCTCAACTTGATCGTCACCATTTCGCTTGATTTTGAAGACCCATTTGTTACCAATTGGCTTCCTTCCTTGTGGTAGTGGCACAAGGTCCCATGTATTATTTTTATGAAGGGCTTCAATTTCTTCTTGCATCGCCATCATCCACAGTGAAGCATCTGAGTTGTTTATTGCCTCCTGGTATGTTGATGGCTCATCGTCCTCTGTTAAAAGGCAATATGCAACATTTCCTTCTATAACATAATCTGAGTGCCAATTGGGACGTCTTCTCACATGATCTGATTGACGAGTTGTTGGAGCTTCAGAACTCTCTAGTTCTTGTTCATCATGTGCTGGTTATGCTTCAGAAGAATCTCCTTGTTCAACCTCTTTTTCCACATATATCTGTGTAGTCTCTGACTTTTCAGTGCTATCATCGTCTTCTTTTCTTTGTAGCTTATCTTCTACAAAGATGACATCCCTGCTGATGATCACTTTGCGGGCAGTGGGATCCCACAAGCGATACCCCTTTACTCCATCAGCATACCCCAAGAATTTGCATTTCCTGAATTTTGGATCCAACTTTGAGATTTCTTGGGAGTTGTACATCACGTACACAATACTTCCAAATATATGGAGGTTTGAATAATCAGCTGGTTTACCAGTCCACATCTCCATTGGTGTCATCAGTTCTATTGCAGTTGGATGGAGCTCGATTCACCAAA